TGCCAGTTTCATCTTTAGTGAACATAGTATCTATCTTCGACTGCACGTGAGTGGCAAAAAATTGTCCGAATTCATTTGCTATTATGTTATCATTAATTACATTGACATTATTTACATTTATTCGTATACGGCGTTGAGTTTTTTCCTTACTCAGCTTCTCGTAGACAAGTTCCCACATTTTTCCGAGAAGAAAGCCTTTTTTTCATCGGCGACCTGTCTGTTTACTAGGTTTTTCATAATCCTGTGGTTTTTTTCCACAGCTTCATTATTAGTGGTTTTGCGTCTCCGGTTTAACTCTTTTAATTCACTCATATGGTTTTTGAGTTTTTCGGAAAATGGTCTACATCTTTTAAGTTTTGTGTTTTTTTGCTGAATTGTTCTTTTAGGATGTGATACCTCAAAGCACCATAGTACATGATCCCAGAATATGTTGAACCGGTTGTCAATGTTTGTGTATTCCAAAAGAATCCTTCACGAAATAGCTACGGATTCAGCAATGCTGTTGTCTGTAACAACTCTTTGTTCGCAACCGATAATCGCATTGAAATTTATATTTTGTGAGTAGTGTTTAAAAGTTATTGCCTGGGCTAAATGATCTGATATTCCTAAGTTAAACTGACTAAAGACGGAGTTTTCGATGTTTCTAACAATATAGTCGATGGTTGACGAACTCGTATGCCAAGTATCCTCGTGGGTGAATTTACAAGAGAACTCCAAATGAGTCAAAGAGGTCGAATAATCTCTTTGTTTTATTATCTTTTTTTCGCTGTCAATATTAAAATCTCCGCGGAGCAATGTCACTTCGAACTTTGCGGAAGAGTACCTTATATTCGAGACATCTTTTTTCTCCTATTCCCTAACCCAAACCCAACCCAACCCAAAATCAACCGAAATGCCAGGATTAAACAGACGTTTGGATCAGCATTTTAGTAAATATTTGTTACACCTCTACTAGTCACTAGGTGGCACCACAGCTTCAAGGCAGAGCCTGTGGAATAACTAACCATGCATATCATACTCGCCATCTATGGTTTTAACCCCAGTCCTCTTTTTATGTTTCGGTGGCACATGTTTATTTTTATTCGACGTCGGTTTTTTCAGCGTTTTTGGAAGTTGTGAGGAAAGGATGAGGGAAAAAAAGACTACCCACGGCGTTCCCGATCAACAAGTTTTTGTCCCGTTGAGAATCCCCAGAACTCGAACGATCTCGCATGTTTCTCACTCGTACGACAGCCGTCGAATGTAAGTGGTTCTCATTTGAAAGCAATCCTTTTGTGAGGTGGTCGGCCATACATATGGTGTTTATAACCAAATTGGGTACTTTTTGAATCTTCTTCAGTATTATTTAGCTCTTAACTTTTCATTATCGTCACAAAAGTGAAAGATATACAACCGTATAAATTTTATACACACTAAAATGGAGGAAGTGGCTTCGCTGCTTTTGAGAATCCACTCAATTTTATGCATATCACTCATTGTTTCATTTAAGTCTAGACTCGCTGTTATAATCGGCTGTATATATATATTATCAATTTCTAATTGTCTCAAGCTCTATATTTTAGTCAACTGATGAATTCATTTCTCATAATTCTGTAATTTAGTGTATTCTTGTCATATTTAGTATTAAAAATTAAGGAAATTTTATATAAAGTTTATATAATATTTCTTTTTAAACATTTATTTGTCTATCACAAATAATATGCTGTTGCTATACAAGTTCAGTTAGTTAAAAGAAAACAAGCGCTAGAACGCTGCCTCCTTGGTTGCATGTTTTGCTGTTGATTACTGGAATAATTGAAATATTTTTGTTTTACACATCATTGATTTATTTTTTTATTTTATAAATTTAATTTATTCGCTTCCTAGCGTATCATGTTTACCACAGAGGAAAATATTTATATGTTAGAGATTATTTAACAAAATTTTCATTAAGAAAGCGTCCAGAAAAAAAGATCTTTGACAAGATTTACCAACGCTTTATAATGTATGGAACCTTGAAGAAAGAAAAAAATAGACGTCGTTAAATTTTGAATGATGAAGAGCAACTTAAAATTTTCTTGCATTCTGCAGAGACGCCAGAAGGTTCAACCCAAAATACATTAAAACAGCAACAAATAAACAACTGAAATTTTGAAAGCGCCCAGGAAAAAAGATCCTTGACAAGATTTACCAACGCTTTATAATGTATGGAACCTTGAAGAAAGAAAAAAATAGACGTCGTTAAATTTTCAATGATGAAGAGCAACTTAAAATTTTCTTGCATTTTGCAGAGACGCCAGAAGGTTCAACCCAAAATACATTAAAACAGCAACAAATAAACAACTGAAATTTTGAAAGCGCCCAGGAAAAAAGATCCTTGACAAGATTTACCAACGCTTTATAATGTATGGAACCTTGAAGAAAGAAAAAAATAGACGTCGTTAAATTTTCAATGATGAAGAGCAACTTAAAATTTTCTTGCATTTTGCAGAGACGCCAGAAGGTTCAACCCAAAATACATTAAAACAGCAACAAATAAACAACTGAAATTTTGAAAGCGCCCAGGAAAAAAGATCCTTGACAAGATTTACCAACGCTTTATAATGTATGGAACCTTGAAGAAAGAAAAAAATAGACGTCGTTAAATTTTCAATGATGAAGAGCAACTTAAAATTTTCTTGCATTTTGCAGAGACGCCAGAAGGTTCAACCCAAAATACATTAAAACAGCAACAAATAAACAACTGAAATTTTGCAGAAATTAGAGAAACGGGAATCTTAGGGAGAGACTAGAATTTTTAATGGGAAAAATACCCACTCCTGGAGCAACAAGACTAATAAAAATCATATGGAAGTTACAAGATCAGGTAGAACTTCTGTCGAAGTATTTTTGGATTAGAATTTAAATTCCCAACGCTACGTAGAGCTTTTAAATATTATCCATCCCTTTGTTGAAAACGAAGTGCTTGAAAGGGAACGGCGAAATTTAATTTGGCAGCAGGATGGCGCTCGTGACAGGAGTGGAGAAATTAGCATCTAATTAAAAGCACACTAAAGAGAATGGATTGGGGAGAATGGTAGTTACGCCTGGGGTATAGTCTGTTCATAGATATAAGAAATTGACTAACTGATACGAATTAAGGAAAGACCCGAGCAAGCTGTAAGAATGAAATATGGCCGAACAGGTCCGTACTTTTAATTATTTGGGGTTTTGTTAACAAAGATACTAAACAATATTTATTTATTTATGTTTAAATCTAAAACAAAATTACAAATTATTTTTATTATCTACTTAAATTACTTAAAATTATTCATATAATATATCAGTATCACTATCGCTATCATCGCCCGTTCTAATTATTATTTGTTCTATATTATTTGCAATATAGATATTCGATTGTTCTACTTTTTCTATATGTTTAACAGAATTTGCCCAACTTTGTAGAGGGATGTCAAAAATTTCGGTTTCTATAAATTTGAGCACGCTTAACACGGGGAAAAACATTGTTACGACGAATGGCAGATTTCAGTTGGTGCCAAACATGTTCAATTGGATTAAATATACAGTGGTAAGGTGGAAGCCTTAAAACTGTATGCCCTTGGTTTTTTTGCGTAATTATCACATAATTATCCTTTTGTAGGTTCAAGCTTTGTAGAACCTCAATTAATTGCTTTTCGGTACAATCGCCGTGAAAATAAATGTCGTTATTATACATGTAGTTTTGGATTGTTCCTTTTGTGTCGCATGAGGAAGGGGTTTTAGTCAACTGTCTACTGTGATAACTTGCATTGTCCATTACAATGACGCTATTAGGAGGAATGTTTGGAACTAGTTTGTTTTTAAACCAACTTTCAAATAAATCAGCGGTGGTGTCTTCATGGTAATTCAGAGAAGAATCTTTAATATTTTTCGCAGACAGAGAAAGTCCATTTGGAATCCAACCATCTTTAGAGTGAGCATGCAAAATAGTTATTCTTTTACCTCTTTTTGATGGCGGGTTTGTTTTACACTTATCAGTTGAGTCAACCCAACCCTTCTCCGGGGTATCATAAGTGTCGAACCAGGTTTCATCCAAGTAAATAATTGACCTTTGTTGTTCTCTGTAAATCCTAATTTTTTTTAGATATTCCAGTCAACATTTCCGAATTCTAAAAGATTCCATTAAAACTTGCCTTTTGTCAATTTTTTTAAATCTAAAACCCATGTGTTGAATACAATTCCATAAGATAGTTCTGCCACATTTAACACCGCTTTGTTCCTCATATAACTGGTAAATTTTACGCCGTATTATATCTTGATCACTTTCATCTACACTCGAGAAAATGTCAGCATCGCTTCTTTTTTTCCTCGCTGAAATGGGATTATTCACAATTTTCCATACAGTTTCCGATAAATTCCGAAACTTTAGGTAATAATCTTGTTGCATTGCATTGCATTTTTTTTCTTTCTTCAAGGTTCCATATATTCTAAAGTGTTGGAAAATCTTGGGCGCTTCCTTAATGGAAATTTTGTTATAAAATCTCTAAGGGCCCAGGGTTTTTATTGTTCGATCTGTAACTTTCTAACATATCAATCTTTTCTTCTTTGATAATCATGATATGACAGGAATCAGCAACAAAACACGCATCCACTTGTTTTGTTTAAACGCCGTCATAGCCATCTTACACTAACTGAACTTAATATGGTAACAGCGTATTATGTGTGATATACAAATGTTTAGAAAGGAATATTTCCAAAAGTAAAAGTATTAGCTTTATATAAAATTGCCTTAATTTTACAACAAATTATAAAAATACGTATTTTATCAACGTTTTTGAAATAGTGAAAATATTAGGCATATACAACCTTGTACGAAATTGACATAATTTTAAATTAAAATTTTAATTTTTGGCAGTTTTTTTTTAAATTTCATTTTTAATCTTGTTTCGCTTACCCTGTATTAATATGTATCGAAATTTCTTATGAAATTCGTTATTCGAGTTCTTTATCTACAACAACACTTACTCGAGTAAAACAATAAATGCTTCCGAATGAAAAAATTGGCGGATATTTTAACATCATTTGTCAATATAAAAAATGTCAAAAACGGTTAGGTATAAGACATTATACACGAAATACGTCTAGAATTTTGTATAGAAATCAAAAATGGAGTGATATATTTAAAATAAGAAATTTGATACTAGCCCACGACAAATGAAACACCCTGTGAAATAAATTGAAGGTTTGTAATACCCCAATTGTATTTAACTTTTGACTCCATAGTCTCTGAGATAAGGGAGTGTCCCAAGATAAACGGTCCATCCCAAAACATTTTGTTTTGGCACTCTTGTGTTTATAATAATTAGTATTAATTACGCAGATATTATTAGTATTATTATCTTTCGGTATATAATAAACATGTAGCGTTTGTTGCTTTGTTCGCCTTCAAAAATGCATAACGATATCCATTTATCTATACGTGCGTAGATTTCGGCGTAGCCTGATCCACGAACCAGATAAGCCGAAGCAAGATAATCACCACGCGCTTTTCCAACAGTCGAAATTACCGCGTCGCCGTCTAAAAACCGTAATTTTTCCTCTTGCCGAAACGTCAACTAATTTTTTGTTGTTGTTTTGACCGCTACGAAACCGCTCTTATCGCGCCGCAGCGGCCGAAGACCTTAACCCGCTGCGACGCGCTTAACCTCGTCGTGTCACCCGCGAGAACGCTTTTATTAAGCGCGTAGAAAGTCGGCACCGCGGTCCAGTCCGTGGTACGGCAGGTGCGACGACCAAGACGACATCCATGGCGGAGGACAACGTGACAGCCAACAGGACCTTCCTGGGGTTCGATTTGAGCACGCAGCAGGTACGTCGGTTATCTCTCGTTGTTTTTCGATGATAAAGCGGATAAAGCGACGGGGTCGATATATGCCGATGCGACGTGTCGCGCGAATAGCGCTTGCGCGACTTCCGAGTTGCCTCTCGGTCGATGAGTGGGACTCGGGCCTATATGCGGTAAGGCAGGCCGGCGATGCGGTATGCCGGCCGCGGGGCGGCCAGCTTATGACCCGCGACAGCGTTTTCCTAGATCAGTTCAGGTAAACAATCTGAGAAGATGGGAATTTGATACATAAACGGTCAAAATTACGCCGAAAGTTTCAAAAAATAAATTACAGGACATTTTCAAAAAAAAAAGTTTCAAGCAAGCAATTACTAACTAAAATCGGACCGACGTGGTTTTTACTTGATGAAAATCCATTTAACACAAATTAAATAGAAGAAAAAATGTTCAGATTTTCACAGATTTTATAGCATTATGACTATATTCCGACACATATATAAAACAGCTAGTAATAAATTTTTAATTACAGGTATAAGGTTTTTTAAATATCTCATTTTGTTAATAACCATAGCTTCCAACAAATTTAGTTTTTTGCTTTGTAAATGATTATGTAAAATATGCTGTTTACCCTTACCCCCTCCTTTCTCCTTTGTCCTGCGGCTACTCTGTTTATTGAAAACTATATTTAATGATTAATGTGTTCTAAACTTTGCGTAATTCTTTTTTTCTCGTTCTTAGGCTAATTTGGTTTACATTTACATAAATGTATATATTATTATTATTTAAATAGGAAAAAAAAATTAAAAAAAAATTTTAGTTAATAATTGCTATGCGCTCGCCAGAACTTTCTAGAGATTTTGGGTTTTTGGGGATTGGGGAAAAAAGAATTTTCGAAAAAATCTCCTATAATTTCCATTGAAATTTTTAAAGTTTGCAAAATTTTTGTAGCAATATATAAAATTCCTGCTTTCTTAGATTTTGATGTTGACTGGAGAAGAAAACCAGTGTCATGGGTTATAAGCGTAGCCATGTGGCTTTAAGTAGGCCGAACGATTCAAGGTATAGTCTGTTCTGCTGGATCGTAGAGTGATAAAACTGGATTAGGTGTACGAAGCATATAATTATTTAAAATTTAAATTATTAATATATATATATATATATATATATATATATATATATATATATATATATATATATATATATATATATATATATATATATATATATATATATATATATATATATATATATATATATATATATATATATATATATACACCAAATGGGATCGTTTAAGTTAAGCACGGACGAACAAAATGTGAAAAATCGTTTGATAATCGAATAATTATAAAATTCAACTTATTAACACTAATTCGATTGATACGGATCTTGTTTTTGATGATAATTTATTTATTTTTCCACAATGGCGGAGTCCAACAACTCTAGAAAAAGGACAGGCACGCGATCGTCGCTGTAGGACCAATCCAGGCGACCGGGCGTGTGCTGTACCTACCATCTCGAAATATATTTTTATTTGAAGTTCATCAAAATGACGTCATTAACTAATCAGCAAATGAGGATGTGAATTTGACCTATTATGTCTCAGACGAATGATTGGCGTCTTTTTTACGTCAACTTGGATCGTCAATTGTAGTTATTAAGTCAACTCAAAGTAAGATTTTGGTCATTTCTGCCGAAAAAAATATAACAATTTTTAGATGGGTTTTCCTTTTTGGAGTGGAGAAAATTGAATGTAAATCACATAGAACGTCTTTTGCGGTTGCAGAAAATGGAGGATTATAGGTAATGAATGAAGATGAGCGGTTCTTAAAAAAAAAAAAAATAATGGAAGGATAATATACAGGGCCTTCCATTTGACTAACCCTGTATAAACAATTCCAACTAACTTCAAGACAAATGACCATGACAAATGACCATAACAAACTTACATTGGTCTTCCATTTGAATTTGAATCTGCCTGTATATTTGAAAATAATTTTAAATTGTTTCTTTTAATCTCATCCATACCTTTTGTATTTAACATTTTTCTCTAAAAACAATAATAAGTTTAACCGTCGTATCTGGAATTAGTCAAGTCATTTTTTTACTACAATTTGAAGTGTTTTTCGAACCACCACTTATGACTGCTTCCTGGGATATTTTATCAAATATGATCGAACCTTTATGCCGAGTGCAGCAATTTCTATGGCGAACACTATATAAGTTGACTCGCTGTGAATGGCAAGTTCCTCCATCAACTTCCGGTTATTTATGGATGACACCTACCTTTGGTGGTTTTTTCCTATTTTTTCTTCAAATCATTGCGCCATAAACGTCGAACCTGCCATCCACTGTGAATCACCCTATGCAATCAGTTCCAGTCAAAACGTATATCCCTCGTATAAAAACGCGTTCATTTTCAAACAGTTAAAGGTGGCAGCACTGAACGACAACCTCGAGGTGCTACACGAGGCTCACGTCAAATTCGACACAGACTTGCCGGAATTCCGCACGCAAGGGGGCGCGGTGATCGATAAAAGCGACCACCATCGCATCACCGCTCCTACCCTCATGTGGGTGAAAGCCGTCGACATGGTTCTCGACCGTCTGATGATGGCCGGCGTCGACTTTTCGACGGTCGCCGCTATCTCGGGCAGTGCTCAGGTAAGTACCGACTCAGCACTGTTTAATGACATCGAAAAATACCAACTAATAATCATAAATCCTCAACCTCCAAAGTTGTATTCTTTAATTAAATTACACAAACAGGATATGCCAATAAAGCCTGTAGTTTCTTTTGTAAAAGCACCATCAGTTAAATTCTCAACAAGATTAGAATATCATACTGCCTTTAGACCTAGATATGATATCGAAAATTCATTCGAACTAATTAACAAGGTTAAAGACATTCAAATTCTTCCCAAGGCAGTTCTAGTTTCATTTGACATCTAAAACCTATTTCCTAGCATTCCATTGCTAACGAAGGATTAATTAAGGGAAAGCCATTTAGTTCACTACTTGCAGAAATTTTCATGGGCAATTTAGAAAATATCATACATAAACATCCTCTGAGTAAAGGATATTTCTGGTGGTATAGATACGTAGATGATGTTTTTGCTTGTTTTATTGGAACGCAAAGACGACTGCAGTCCTTTTTGAATCATAGATAACTGCATCAAATTTACCATAGAGACGGAACTAGCTAACTCTATAACCTAGCAAGGAAATTTCGAAACGTGCATCTAAATTTGGTCTAAATATTGCTTTTAAAGCTGAATGTGGATCTTGTCCCAAAATTTATATCGGATAAACAGGTAGAACATTTAAGAAACGTATTAACGAACATAAAAGGGCGTATAAAATATATGTTCGCATTCTAACTGTGCCGCTGATTTAAACTGACTATAATTTTGATAATTTAAATTATCAATCAAAAAGCAAAAAACTAAATTTGCTGGAAGCTGTGGAGGTTAACAATAAAATGGGATATTCGGAAACAGCGGTCATAAATCATCAAAAACTGTCAAAATCTGAACATATTCTGTTTTAATTTAATCGTGTTAAATGGATTTTCATCGCCTCAGTATAATACAAGCGGAAAACTTTCCGTTCGTTTTTGTCCGCTAATTTTTCCGCTTCAGCAACACGGCTCAGTCTATTGGCAAAAAGGGGCATCGCAGACTTTGCTACGTTTGAACCCCGACGAATTCTTGCACCAGCAATTGGCGCACTGCTTCTCCGTACCAGATGGTCCCATATGGATGGACGGTAGTACCGCTCAGCAGTGCCGGCAATTGGAGGCGGCCGTGGGCGGCGCGGAGATGTTGGCAGCTATAACGGGATCGAGAGCGTACGAGCGTTTCACCGGCGCACAGATAGCGAAGATTTACCAGACCAAGCCTGACGCTTACAAAAACACCGAGGTGCGAAATGTCGGACGCGATGTCGTTTCGACATTACAGCGCTGTATTTTAGAGGATCTCGCTGGTCAGCAGCTTCTTGGCTACGATATTCCTGGGACGGATGGCGCCCATCGACCTCTCGGACGGTTCCGGCATGAATTTAATGGACATCGGCGCCAAAAGGTGGCACCCCGGGCTGCTCGACGCTTGCGCGCCGGGTTTAGAGGAACGCCTAGGCGACCCGGTGCCGTCCAACACGGTCTTGGGTCCTGTTTCCCCATATTTTGTGGACCGCTACAACTTTAATCCGGATTGTAGGGTCGTGGCTTTTACCGGAGACAACCCCGCCTCTCTTATGGGTACGACAGCGAGGGCGGTATTACAGGAAGTCGATCGAAATTCGCGCGTTCTTTTAAATTCAATCTTATGGAAATATGGCGCCCTTTTTTCTTTCAAAGGTAGTGGTTTGTGGCTTATGGATCTACGAGCATTTTACAAAACTTCTGGATTCCTCCTGCGTCGGTTTTTGTTGAGTCGAACTTTTGGCTTCTGTTGGCTTCTTCAGAGCTTGACTGAAACCGGCTCGCTTTTTACTCCGTACCTGCTTATATATTGTTTGAGGGGGGCGGAGTTAAACGACCGATTCCCATATTGAGTGACAGGTAAAGACCTGAGTCGCGGTTAAGATTGATTACATGCAAGAATTTTAGTGTTATCGAATAAAATTTATTGTCCGATTTCGTGATTGTGTTCAGCAACTATTGATGAGTTTATTTTTCTTAGTCTTAAGACTCCCATGTTGTTTGGAATTTTGTCTTTGGTTGATCGAAGAGATTTTTGGACAGGTGGTAAATCTGGTTTTGACGTTATATTTCTTTAGAACTTTTAATATGTGGTCGGTGATGTTTTGCAAGGTTGTGGTGACGTGTATTTCGTGATAGAACGCTTCATATTTTTAATGTGGAAATTATTAGAGACAAGAGCAGAGGTAAGGTAAACAAGAGAGTTGATAATGTTAGGTCTGATTTTCTATTGAGACTTTTTCACAGAGTCTGATTTACTAGAAGCCTTAATAACGGATTTAAGGTTGCGATGAAGTAGGATCTTTTTTAAGTTGACGATATGATCCGTCTCTAAGAATATCTTGAATCTTTTTCTTATATTCATTTGTGTTCATGACCACCATAGCGTTTCGTTTACCCGCTTTTAGGATTACAATGTCGGGATTAGATTTTAGAAACTTTAGGGCAATGCGTTCAGGCTTTGCAATATTAAATTTAGGAGGTTTTGTTTTTTTAACCATTTTTGCGGTTTCAAATCGAATTTCATTAGCTGTGTGTGTGATTTTGGGTAGAAGATAAATGAAGATTGAGAGCTTTGTCATAAATCAAATTCGACTCAACAAAAACCGACGCAAGAGGAATCCAGAAGTTTTGTAAAAAGTATTACAGTGACCTGTGCAAGTTTCTTTGGAGAATTTATTGGTTCAAATCCACACCCATCTTTTTAGAGTGATTTTATTCCGCTTGCACGTGACTCGTTCCGTTTATCTCCACTCTAATAACTTCTAGTTCGAGACCGTCTAACAACTCAATGCTGGGTATTGACGATGATTTAAGTGTTTTACACCATTTGCACCATTAATATTTATTATTATATTATTATTTATTTTCACCATTTTCGTTTTAAATGAAAATATGAGAAACTGTGTGGTGATTTAATGGAACAGAATGAAAGGTTCAAGATGATTTGTTGAGGATTTTTAGGCATTTTTTTTGTGGTTGCGTGTGGCGCCTTTTAATATTCAGCAGGCAGCCGAGGGTCGTCCAAACAACTTCATTAACTAGTCACCAAAATGACGTGAATTTGACCTACTAATGTCTCAGGCGAATTACGTTATTTAAGTGACGTCTTTTTTACGTCAATTTTCGTCCTTTTTGCGTCAACTTAAAGTCGGATTTTGGCCTTTACTGCGGAAAAATATGACGTTTTTTAAATTTCTTTTTTTTGCAGTTGGGAAAATCGAAAGTAAATCATACGGAAACTACCTCTTTAAATTACATGAATAAATGAATGTAATGAATAAATAAATTAAACAAATTAATAGTGGACGGTCTTCCAGTTGAATTTTTCACGAAAATTAATATTTTTCATTTTGAGTCACCCTGTATAAACGATTCGGATTAACTGCAAGACAGGTATAGGATAAATAGCATGGCATTTTTTATGAAAAAAACGGCCATAAATCCAAAGACGCTCAGTATAAAAATTGAGTATAAATGGGAGTTCATATTAATCCCATTTAAAAATTAAGTTTGGATTACCACATATTTATTAATCGCCCTGTATATTATTTATAATAATAATATACGAAACATATTATTTTGACACACTATAGATATACGGGGTGTGTTCAAAAAGTAAAGAGACTTGTAATTGGCGGAGCTATGTACATTCGATGTTCGATTTTGTGTGTGTTATGTTGGTATACATGTTTATGTTCAAAATGTCAGCCAGGTTGCACTTTTTTTTATGAGACAGTGTTTTGTGTGCCCGGAGATTTTCTACAAAGAATTTACAAAAAAATTTGCGTAAAGACTGCAACGCAGTGCCGCAAAATGTTTGCGGAGAACGGCACATGGTGAATCTAATTTGCTAATGTTAATAACTGTTTTTAACTGTCAATAATTGCTCAAAGCGTTGAAGAAGCGAAACAAATGGTGTTGAAAAATCGTTGAATCTGTTGAGAAGTGGCTGAAGAGGTCGGCATCTCTATTGGCTCGTGCGTAATTTTTCCAAAGTTTTGGTCATGAAACGTGTAAAAGCAAAATTTGGTTAATTTTGAACAAGAGGGCCGATGACGTCCAAACCAAAGCCCAGTCGTCCCAATAGAAAAACCCAGACTCGCCAAGACCGAAAAAAGCAAGTCAAGTTTGATTATCGTTGCGTAGTGCATCAAGAGTTATTACCACAAGGTCGTATAAGAGTATTACCTTGAAGAAAACGTCCGGAATTGTGGGAAAACAATTCACGGATTTTGCATCACAAAAATGCACCTGCTCACTCACCGTTGCTTGTGTCTAACTGTCACAATCATGACCCAGCCACCACATTGACCGGATATGGCCCCCCGTGACTTTTTCCTGTTCGAAAAACTCAAGAAACCCATGAATGGTTTGGAACGATTGAGGAGATAAAAAAAAATGCTGGAAGAATAGAAGGCTATACCAGAAGTGCTTCGAGGATTGGAAAAAAAGTTGGCATAAATGTATCATATCTGGGGGGATTACTTTGAAGGGGACAACATGAATTTTGATGGATAAATAAATACTTTTTGATAAAACTTAAAAGTGAAAACGTATTCTGGTTTTAAATAGAAGAATTTGATAGCAATTCAAATCATCATACTTCTTTTGACGTCAATTTGACGTGTTTTTCGAACCGCTGGCGAGTAGGGACCACTCATGACTCGAAAAAGACGCTATGTCGATACAAATTAACATTTCTCGCTATGATCATTGATGGTGTTTATGAAAATTTATTTACTAATATATAGATGGTTTCTGATTATTTATATTGATTTATCGATGACGTGCGGATTATATCAAAGCTTTATTGGGGTGAAGCCGTCAGAATTGAAAATGCTCTCTCCGAAGTGGTCAGCATATGGAAGGGTGTCAGGCAGGGGTGTATTTTATCTCCAATGCTATTCAACATATATTCTGAGAACATTGATAGAGAAGCATTGGAAGACGAATCCGCTAGGATAGTAATAAATGCGAGAATCCTTGATAATATTAGTTTTGTGTGCGGGTTCTCTCGAGGTGTTACAGAGACTATTAAACAAAGTAGTGAAAGCTAGCAAAGATTACTGTCTCAACATGAACATCAACAAGCTGATAACAAAAAGGAAGCAAGCAACAGGTCAACTCATCGTAGACGGGAAAATAATACATATACCTTGGCACCATAATTCATGAAGAAGTTCAACATAAACAGGAAATTTTGGCATGCATTGAACTATTGACGGCTCCGGACCTATCACTAAGAGCTTCGAAGCTTGGACGCTGAATAGAGAAACCACAAGGAGGATGAAAGGAAGAGTCTCGTGGACAAAGAACTCGAAATACTCTTTACCACTAAAAAACGGAACCTTGAGTTCCTGAGAACCATATCACGCGGTACTAAGATATGAGCCGCTGAAACTCATTACGGAGGTAGACGAAGTGTATGGCGCTGAAGAATCCCTTGGTTACGCATTCTTCGAGAATGGTTTGGTGTATCATCAATTGAATTATTTAGATCAGTATCAAAAGTTAAGGTAGCCATGATGTATCAGCGACCTTCGAAGGAGAAGCTGACACAAGAAGAAGATCGATGATTTCTAACTGAATTATTGCACTTGAGGTTGCCACCTTTAATTTAGCCCCCAGTCTAAGAACTTCCACAGATCAATAGCTAGTCTTCAAACCGGTTTAACAGCAAGTTTAAAAATTTCAAATTTTTAATCCGAATATCATTTTTTATGTTTATCGATCGATTCCGTTTCCGGTGAAAGACTTGACGAAAGCTATTACGGATTTCGTTTCAAGGTATGCGCCTGGGCGAGGGCTGGTTTGCCGTCAGCCTGGGTACCAGCGATACCGCGTTTCTCTGGCTCAAAGACGCGAAGGTGGTACCAGATGGGCACGTGTTGCGGAACCCCGTCGACGAGAACTCCTTCATGGCGCTGCTCTGTTTTGAAAACGGCTCGCTGACCAGGGAGAGGGTGAGGAACGCTTGCGCTGAGCGTTCGTGGGACATCTTCAATCAACTGCTGGACAGCACGCCGCGAGGCAACTTCGGCAACTTGGGGCTCTACTACGACGTGCAGGAGATCCTGCCGAAGCTCGAAGGCGATTTCCGTTACAACAAAACGCAACGCGTCGCCAAGTTTACGAGCCTCGAAGTGGAGGTGCGGGCGTGCGTCGAAGGGCAGTTTATAGCGAAGCGCGCTTACGCGGAAGATTTCGGCTTCGACGTAGGTAAGCGGAAATTTTTCCGCTCTTTTTTTTTTGGCCGCTTATTTTACTCGTTTAGGCAGAGGAACGAAGATTTTAGCCACCGGCGGAGCGTCGAAGAACAAAGCCATCTTACAGGTGCTGGCTGACGTTTTTAACTCGCCCGTCTACGTTCAGGTAAGGACCCGTCCGCCAAAATGGCGAATTAACGTCGTCGACTCAAACGCTTGCCGCGCCACTCGATAATTTCTCGCTTAATATCGAGCGGAAAATTGACACCGGTAGAGCGAGCAAACCTAGCGGAAATTCGCTAAGACGTGATAAAAATGCCCTCTGCTGAAGCTGGATCATATCGTGACACTTTTGGTTTAAGCGGTGGTGAAATCTCTTCCAGCAACTCGATTAATTAGTTATTTCGTTAAAAAACCAAATAGAAATATTTTTCACTAATTTTAATTTGCGGCTAATAATTTAATGGCGAAAAGAACAATTTTCAGTTTTATCTATAATTGAAAACCCCTGTATATAATTGAAAAAATGCCAGAAATAAAAGTTATGGTCCCGGATTTCCTAGAGAAAATATTTTTTTCTGGAATCCAAAATATTCAAAAAGAAAATCAAAATTTTTATTTTTCAAAAAATGCTGGGCGGTATTTGTTTGACTCCTTTTTCCACAGTTAAAATAAGGTGTCGACTAGAACTTTCCTGCCAAATCTGAAGTGGATAGCTGCCAATTTAAGACAGCTGTCAATTTTTCAATATAGAACGGAATATCTCGAACACCCTGTATAATCGGTGAAAACCTTAAATACAAAAGTTTGCCTACTGAATCATAACTTTCTAGCTATAGCCAATTTTTATTCAAAGGAACTCGATTTTCAGTTTTTTGTGACACACCGTATATTTTTGAAAATTTCCAAGAATGAAGATTTATTGCAAAGATCTCGCGCATCTTTCCGTTCATTAACTTTTTCGATCTCACGAACGGTTTTCGAGAAATGGTCTATTTCGCAAAGCGATTTTTTATTTTTTTCTATTTCGCGTTTAACAGTTTTTCCGCTAAACTTTCGCTCGTATCCGCTTAATGTGCGAGAAAGAAGATATTTTCACGGTGACTTTTGCTATTTTATCCATAATTTTGCCAAAAATTGTTTAACTAGCACATCTTTCGGGTTTCCCGCTAAGTTTTGAGTAGCCTGGTTTTGGCTGCCCGCTTAACGAGCGAAAACTTAGCGGGAAACCCGCTTAACTAGTCCATTTTGCGATTTAAAGGTAAAACAATGGAGTGATCGAGAAAATATCCTCGGATTTCTCGCCCATTAAGCGGACACGAGCGAAAGTTTAGCGGAAAAAATTTCCGCTGCTCGAGCGGACAGTCTCGCATAATAAGCGGAAATTTCGCTCTTTAACTATTATCGCGGCGTTCTTTTGCTCGTTAAGACGACCCTAGCGAACAAAAGGTAAGATGACCAATCGGCAGAATAAAGTAGAAAATTTCGCTTCGCGTAGAGTATTGGAGGCGGCATTTTACAGAAAGTGGCCGAGTCCGCCATGCTTGGCGCCGCGTACCAAGCGAAACACGGCCTGACGGGTGAGAACTGGGAGCGGATAACAGCGAGCCTGCCGGAACCCGTCAAGGTGTGCGACCCTTACCCCGACGCCGACGAAATCTACGCGCCCATGACTCTACGCTACCGTCACGTCGTCCAAGAACTCCTGGACGAGAAGAGTAGTAAATTGACTAAGTGACACCGGAGAGGGAGCAGCAAAACAAAACTACATTCCAATAATTTGTTTTCTATATATAGATAGATAGATAAGGGTTTGTTAACGCGTTCGTTGAAATTTATTTCTTCCTGCCGCCCCTCTCCTTGACTTGGAGCTGGATCAGCGCTCCGGGCGTCACGTTGTAATAGGCCAGCGTGTTGGAGTCTTTGAAGAACATCCCCTGAAAAAAATGGGGAAAAAAAGGTGAAAAGAGGCCCGACCACCACGACCGCAGCGGCGGACTCACGTCGAAGAAGAGCTTCTGCTTCGCGGGCGGCATATTGATCTCCTCCTGAAGCTTGGCCTTGACGCTCGCCACAGACTCGCCCAGCGGAAAAGTGAACGTCAACACCTGACCGTTCAGTTTCCATTCGGCCTTCTCGGGCGCCATCGGCACCGAAATCTTCACGCCGATCGGGCTCTGCGGGTAACCAACCGTTACATAACGACGCCCCGCCTACTCGTCAAGTGTCACTTACCGGGTTTCGTGCCAGGTAAACCTCCTCGGGGACCAGCGAGTCCTCGTTCCTTATCTTCTTGTTGCTCGGCTCGTCTTCCGCGGGGCCCTCGTTCGGATGTTTCATCGTCATATTCATCGGCGGGCCCATCGGGGGCGGCGGCATCGGCGTCACGAACCCGGCCATCGAAGGGTGAGCCGGCACTGAAAAAAGTCGAAGTTTATTAAATTGCCCCCGCCGCCTTCGATCGGTCGCTCACTCATCAGGGGCGGTCTCATCGGCGCCATGGGCGGGGCCGGCATCATCATTATCGGCGGTTGGGGCGCGAGCATCTGCGGCTGTGCGCTCACTGGCAACGTCATCGGCGCCGCTTGGGTAATCACCGACGTCTACTGAAACGGTGAAACACCTACGACCCCATCTGCGGAGGAAGGAAAGAAGGGACGACTTACCTGCGACGGAGCCGGGGCCTTGACCACGGCCGGTTTGGCTTTGGCCGCCCCCGCCACGTTCTTCGGACCGATCTTTTCCTTCTCTTCGTCGGGCAACAGCCCCTTGACCTTGTGTATCTGATGGATCTGCTCTTCCAGGGTGATGTTGGCCCTGGCCGCTCTCGTCGCCGCCTCCACGCTCGACGTGTGCCCGTCCCAAGTGACCTTCTCGTCTTTTCTCACGTCCTCCTCGCCGATCTTTTTACCGATGGCGGTTTCTTCGTCGCCGACGCCGAAGATGTCGGTACGACGCTCGGCGAGCAGTTTGAGACTGGCGTCGATCGCCGTACCGGCGGCGTACACCGTGTCCTGGTTCATCTTCTCGTTGACGTGTTTGTCGCGCTGCTCCACCCACCGAGGGTCCAACAGGCCGATGCGCATGTGCTCCTGCACTTTGCTCGCCGGTATCTTCTCCCCGGTTATGGGGGAGACGAGATAATCGTCGCCCACTTGGGGTCTCAGCACTTTCACCGCTGAAAATTCGTTAGACTGAGGCAAGTTCCTCTACGTTTTTTTGTCATTGCTTTATATAATTAATAATTACGAAATTATTTTTTTCTCAATAGTTAATTTATTATGAGAATGAACATTTTCGTTTTGTACACAACTTCTGGATTCCTCCTGCATCGATTTTTGCTTAGTCGAAATTGCTGACGTTTCGCCAATCATCCTGTTGGCTTCTTCAGAGCTTGAAGAAGTCAACAGGATGATCGGCAAAACGTCAACAATTTCGAAGTTTCTTTGAAAAATGAACATTTTCTTTAATTTAATTTCATTATTTTTACAAATAAAATGTTCACTCTATAATTTGCTTTAAAAAATGAAATAAATTTTACCTCGGTGTTAATTTCGGTGGTTTATTTTTCTAGTTATGGAATACTGGAAATTACTTTCAAATTTTCATAGATTATTAAACTATTTTGAAAACGTTTACAATTTCTTAAAATTTGCTTTAAAAAATTAAAGTAATCTCTCTTATTTTTCGTCCTTAATTTATGCAATTATTTCAATTACGAAAATCTTCTCAATAGTTTTTTGTAGTTTTCCTCTAATTTATATTATTAATTTATTAAGAGAATGAACTTTTTCTTTAATTTAATTTTACCAATAATAACACAATTTTCTTGTTTTAAAAAATTAAGTAATTTCACCCAGGTGTCAATTTCAAAGAATTTGAAATAAAATATTAATCACTCCCAAAATTTCATAGATTATGAAAATATTCTGAAAAGCCTTTTATATATTTTTTATAATTTGCTTTAAAAAAAATCAAATAACTTTGCGCAAGTGTTAATTCAACTACAAATTTTTTCCATAATTTTATTTTTCTGGAAAAATTTCATAAATTATTAAACTATTCTGAAAAAAAATTTACACATTTTTTACTTGAAATCTTTATTACGACTCAGGAATGAGTTGAAGAAGGATAAATTGTCACGGAAAACCTGGAGATTTAATATTTCTTTTTTCACTTTTTTTTTTCTTTAATTTATATGATTAGGTTATGCATATTTTTTTTCACAGTTATGCAGGAACAAAGTTTAGGTTGGTATAAGATTGGATAATTTTCAAAATTTCCGTCTATTTTTTTTTTGTTTACTTCATCTCATTAATTATGTAACGAACTTTTTTCTAAATTTTGCTGTAGTTTTCTTTTTTTCCTTAATTCATATATTTACTTTCCTGATCAACAAAACATTAATTAATTTTTCTATTAACTTGCCTTGTTTGGGATCATATTTTTTCACCACCACTTTATCGGGTATGGGCGGCAGGGGCGGCTGGATCTGCGGTTGGGACGACTTATCCTGGACGTGTTCCTCGTCAGAGCTCTCCTCGTCCATGTCCTGAACGCGATTGTCGTCTTTGCCCGATTTGCCCGGTTTCAAGGTCTGCGTTCTGTCTTCCATACGGGCTAACCCATGGTCCTCAGCGGGTTCCTCTTCATCACTCTCCAATTGCATTTCTATATCCTCGCCCTCCTCAATACGCTCCTGGATCAGAATCCGAGCACCTACTTCTTCAGGTGTGGTCGGGGGCGGGAAATTCCCGATCTCGAACGGTTGGTAGTCGACGGTTTCAACTACTACGAAGTCGTGCCAGTCGATTTGCGCGTACGCCACTGAAGCAGGAATAAATTTATTATTTTACTAACAGCACATTTGTCATTTACCTCGTTCGCGTTCCAGTATTTCCTCTTCCCGGGCCCTCTGGGCTTCCTGGTACTTCTGCCACTCAGCCCGGTACTTTACCAACTCCAAGACCGCGTGGGCGCTCTGGACTTCATCTTGTAAACGTTGCTGCATGCTTTTTGGGGGGATCAGTACCTACAAGAGGGTTAATCGAAACTGAACTTAAGAAAAGGAGTTCAAATAATGGATCTTTACCTTGGTGTACTGCTCGAGCAATTTTGTGAAATATTGAAATAAAGAATGTTGCGGTCTCAAAAAATCGAATTGAAAATTACGTTGTTCGCGATTCATTAACTGAGTCAGGAACGCCCTGCCGTTTCTCGCGACAAACTGAGCTGTCAGTTTGACGATATCTCTAAAAAAAAATACCCGGTGGTCATGAAATGGTTACCTAAGGGTGCGGGGACTCACAAATCTAAGGCGGATATCGAAGGTGGATCGGCAATAAATTCAAACTCTGCTGGCGGATCTTTGGGAACGAACGGCTGTTCGACTTGCTTCAAGATTTCATGTTGTTTTTGTTGGGCGCTCGCAGATACCGAAAGTTTTGATATACCCGCTTGTATGGACGGTTCTTGGGCTGAAATACGATGTTCTACTCTACTTACCTTAAGGGCACTATCAGATGGTACGACTACAATGCGATCTTGCGTTTGACGTATATCACATCTCATTCGCAGAGTTTCACACAAGGTGATAAAATATCTTTCAAAATATTTAACTCAACTCAAAGAAATTGTGTTGCCGATAAATATCGCGTCAAGCACCTCTGAAAGTGTGCATTTATCTTTGTGGTTGATCTTTTTTGTCGCTCCCACACTGGTGATACACTTGCACTGCATTGCAGTCATACCATCGCATAAAGGCGCCACTAACCTTTGCCCTCCATGAACTCATTAACTTTGTGTTCATAGTAAGCATGGTAAGGATCTCCGGAATTTAAGAAGTTGAACTTGGGATTGCCGAGCTCGTTTTGTCTTATGCGCGCTTCAAACTCGGGGCCGTTCCGCGCTACGAAGCTTGCGGTTTTGTCGACGATATCTTTCGCGGTGTTCAGGAAAACGTGAATGTACGTCCCAGCGAGGGGCAATAATACACTACCATAATAAAAGGATACTTCTGACTTCTGGTGGTGGGTATATAATCCCGATGACAGGGTTAATCGGTGGAGCCGTTTCTTCGGTTCCCGACTGGCCGGCTAGTTCCAACGGAGGCATCTTGCTTTTGCTGGTGAATGTATTGGGTGAAAAATCACATTTACTTAAAAAGCTTTCCACCAAACACAATGTGCATAGATAAGAAATATAAGCAATGTCAATAAGGGATTACCACCACAGATTGACGAGTCTCAAGTTCAAGTATGCGTTTCACAAAAAATGTTGGGCTCGACTGCTAGGATCATTCGCCCATTGCCGACTTCCGTCGAGGATCTTCGCTTTTGGTCATTGACCAACACGTACAAAGAAGACATATAACCAATATTTGCTCAACTAGCAAAAAAACAAATTTGACCGATACCAAAAAAAACCGACACCCCCCGCTTCCGCCCCGGACCATCCGGGCCCATCCGGCCTCCATACCGGCGTGAACGGGGAAAAACGAAGGGATCGGCGACGATTATCACTTTACAACGTTCACAAAACACTGACAACACTAAATCCACTCAGTGGAGACCGATTTCAAAATTTTTGGACGATTACAAAGGATTCTGTAGGGAACGAACGGAGGTTAAACCGCCGCGTGCAATGTTCCACCACAGAATCCATTGACGAGTTTACTCGCCTTCATTATCCTCTTCTTTGCTTTTAATTGGAATTGGAACGCCTATCTTAGATGCAGAGAATATCGCTCAAATAAATTTCATTGTACCAAATAAATTAACTATGGTTGGCATGCCACAGATAAACCATGGTTAGTTTGAAACGGACATGTGTAACACTAAACATGTACTGTTTGCACGCGCAGCGGCATCTCGTAGTGACCTTCCGATGATATTTGCCATGTTTTTTCTCAATCCAAGTAGATGTTTTTCGAGGTGTAACCAGATTCCAATATCAGTTCTATAAATGAAAGGAACTTGAGCGCATTTCACGGTTATAAAATAATCTCGGCATATGGTTACGAGTTTAATACAAAATATTAACAACTATGTTCCATCCAAATGAACGCGCGCCACTTTAAAAATTTAACGGAAATCCAAGCGTTCGGCAACGCCGTCTTTTCAACTAAACCGTCAGTCCGCGGCAAGCAAATTTTGCCAAATTCATTTCCCAGATTCCACTTTCGCTGTTAGGAGCGCAGAGATTCGAGGAGGTATCGAAAAATTTACCAGCGACGCGAGGGCGGCGCTAATGCCTGGCCAATGAAACGCGAGGCGCCCGGTTGCATTATGGGTAACTATTGGTGGGCGGAGTTTACGGCGCTCCGGATACATTTTTTAGATACCTCTTCGCACGTTCTGTTCTCCGAATGACAGGAGCAAATTTTGTCGATTCGCTTTAAAAATCCAACGCCATGAGGAGAACAGAAAGAAATAAATGTGAGTGCTCTCTGGGTAAATATCGTTAATTATTTTTGTTGATAATTTGGGAGATGCAGGAGTAAAAACAAGGTGTATGCATTTTATGCATGCTTTATTGCTAAGATTTTAATTATTTGCGTGTATTTTACAAAATTCAACAAATCTATATATATATAAATATAACCTATAAAAATTTTCTTGGTTAGTACGAAAACTTAAAGCAATACGAATAACGAATTTCTTACAAATTCCATTCAATGAATTCACGTTCTACTTTGTAGTGCCAACTTTTAAAATTAATTACCAGCTTTTGGTAACAAATTAACAGGATCGAGTGAGCTTCAATTCTTGAACGGAAAATGAACAGGAAAACGAATAGTATGGAACTCTTGGACATGGAGAAAAATCGCTTGTCAAAGGACACATTTCGGGCTGAAACCAAGTCTTTAAATCTGGGCAAACAGGAGGCGGTAAGCAAAAGTATGCCGTCTACATCAATGTAAATCGTTTTATGTTTTAGATGGCATGGGGTAAATCCTCCCCAAGCAAAAGTTACTGCTCGTCGAGCTCGACGTCCACCGAAAACGTCGTGTCTACTTTGGAACGGAAAAAGGTAGCCCAAATCGTGAACAGGTACAACAAATAAGTTTTAAATTGTTCCAGGCTTCGGCAGCTAACGAAACCAAAACGATTAATCGACCGGACGACCCTCCTCTTTTGCCAGGGGAAAAAGTTACAGGCCAGGCTCGAGATGTCACTTACCTTTGCCCATATCATGGCCCCGCCAGGGGCGTCTTAACCGTTACAAATTACAAGCTGTATTTCCGTTCTGGAGACAAGGACACGTCGAACGTGATCAACGTGCCTTTGGGAGTCGTGAGTTGAGCAGTGTTTACGCCATAACCTCAAATCGACACGTTACCTTTAGGTGTCCCGAATAGAAAAGGTAGGTGGCCAATCGTCGCGGGGCGAGAACGCTTACGGAATAGAGATATTCTGCAAGGACATGCGTAACCTGAGGTTCGCTCACAAGCAGGAGAACCATTCGCGGAGGAACGTCTTCGAGAAACTTCAAATGTTTGCGTTTCCCTTGTCTCACAAGTTGAAATTGTTTGCGTTCGAGTATAGCGAAGCGTTCCCGGAAAACGGGTGGGCCATATACGAACCCATCGCGGAACTAAAGAGAATGGTAACTTTCGATGTTATATAGAATGCGTTCCCTAACCTCAAAACTCGATTTTTTTAAATATTGAATATCACTTTTTCTTTAATAGCATAATTATTAATAAAGTATTGATATCACTGTTTTACCCTTTTAAACATATTCAGTTTGCTTTATTATAACGGCGATTGAATCATTTTCGTGAAAAGAAATATTAAATAAATTTTCCCTTGACGTGACATTTTTTTTGAGAAACTTTGGATTGTGCTTTGGAAGTAATGATAATTGTTTTTAGGACATTGATCGTCATTTCATATTGTGTTGAGGGTAGCTTTGTCAATTAAATTTTTGTCTTTTATCTACAAGAATATATACAACCTGAATAGATAATTATCAAAAGTTACTCCATATAAACATGAGCTCTGAAATAATAGTACTAAGTATTGTCCTCCATGATACAATCATTGTTCCTCTATAGACTTGAGAACGGTCAGAGAGTGATGGGCATTTTTCTTGACTTGACTGACTAGAAAGGTATTATTGTAATATCCCATTTAGATCCCATTTGAGTGAGAGAACACAGACTGTGAAAGTAGCTGATACATTGAGTGATAGGCTACAGGTGGGATTTGGTGTGCCGCAGGGCACTGTGCTTGGTCCGCTGATATTTAAGATTTATATGTTTTACGTGTTTTGTTTTGTTGATGACGCAGCAGTGATTGTGTCAGGTAAATCTTGAGCCTTGAGAAGATTAAAGAAATGGCTAGACCATAGTTTATTGTCCTTAAATCTAAATGAAAAACACATTTTGTTACGTTAGCTTTATCGACTGTAAATGCAACAGCCTTTTTTTTGCATAAGATAAAAGAGCAAAAGTCTTCAAACTTTTGTACAGGGTGGTCCAAAATTCGATGGCTTTAAGCATTTGCAGCACAGTTAACGCATGCGTGTTACGGGCTCGATTTTCGAGAGACGTCCAAAACTAAAAACCGCATCCTGATATGTCAAAGCGTTTCTGAGCTACAGGGTGATTCTTAAAAACGTGCGTTGGAGAATCACCGTGTAGCTCAAAAACGCCTTGACATATCACGCTGCGGTTTTCAGTTTTTTGGACTTCTCTCGAAAATCGATGCTTAAAGTCATAGAGGCCCCTCGCATTTGGACCACCCTGTATATACACTTTTTTTCTATCTTTTAAAATTAACGCTGTAGGTGGGTGTCAAAATATAGTAAATAACTCGATACAATTAAGAATTGTCAATAATGTATTGTTATTGCTGATTGTTAATATTTTTAATCGAACGACAATAAATAACATTATTATTATTATTATTATTATTATTTTGGGCCGTTTTGGTAACGACAGGTACTTTTCAGGGCGTCAACAACGACATGTGGAAAATAACGAAGATCAACGAAGACTACAGGATATGCGACAGTTACCCGGCGGTGTGGGCGGTGCCGGCACAAGCGAGCGATGCCGACATCGAGACGGTGTCGAATTTCAGAAGCAGGGGCCGATTGCCGGTACTGAGCTGGATCCATCCCGAATCCCAAGCCACCATTACGAGATGTTCGCAGCCGTTGGTCGGAGTAAGTGAGTCGTGGGCGTGGCCCGTCATTCCGGACGTCACGTAGTCACTTTTAGGTTAGCGGCAAGCGGTGCAGGGAAGACGAGCACTACATCCAGCTGATAATGGACGCGAACGCGCAGTCGCACAAGATGTTTATCATGGACGCGAGGCCCAGCTCGAACGCGATCGCGAACAAGGCGAAAGGGGGCGGGTACGAGTCGGAGGACGCGTACCAGAACGCGGAACTGGTGTTCCTCGACATTCACAACATCCACGTGATGCGCGAGTCTCTGCGCAAACTCAAAGAGCTCTGTTATCCGTGCATCGACGAGACCAAGTGGCTGTCGGGGATCGAGTCGACTTACTGGCTCAAACATATCAAGTGCATTTTGGCGGGAGCCGTGCGGATCGTCGACAAGGTACGCCCGCGTCCCTGTGGGGGCGTGGAGGTTATGTCGATTTTTTTTTTTTAGGTTGAGAGTCACAAAACGTCAGTATTGGTGCATTGTTCCGATGGGTGGGATCGTACCGCCCAACTCACCGCCCTTTCGATGTTGATGCTCGACCCGTTCTATCGCACGATCAAGGGTTTCGCGGTGCTCATTGAAAAGGAGTGGTTGTCTTTTGGTCACAAATTTCAACAGGTGAGCGAGCTATGGGCCACACGTTAACGCTCGAGGGTAAACTTATTTAAAAAATTATTTTTACGTCATATTCATTCAAATTACATTTTTCAGCGAAATTCACAAAAAAAAATTACACCACTTTTTCGTCTCAAACTTGGGTGCGATTTCTCCTTTTTTCACAGAGGTTGGCACACACCCTGTATATATAATCAGTTTTCTCTGTGGCAGTTCTTCGGTTATGCAATGGTCATATACGGGGTGTCTCATTTTCAATAAACTATTGTTAATTTTCAACAATATAGCCTTTATCTAAACTGAAGGAGAAAAATATATGTGCCCTCCCGCCAAGTGCCTTTTAACATATCTTATATATAACATTACTTATAGAAAAACAAAAAAGGGCGGGTATGTTTTATTTAGAATGCTGTGCTAAGTTGTCCTCGCCTGTGGCTGACCTTTATTTAACCCTTCTTTGTGCATAAATGGTTAAAAAAAAATGGCTAAGATTGATTTTTATGACAAAGTTATCGGAGGTCATCTGGGTACATTTCTTTTAAGGAGTTCGAACATCAAGTACAAAAACTTATTTTTCAAACATCCTGCTTAACCTAAAACCTGACGTAAGAGGTCAGAACCACTAGTTTTCCTTGGTTGATTGATTGAATAGTTTTTGAGAAAATGTTTTTTTGGCAGCCAAAATTAAAAAAAAATACTTATATTTGATTACACCCAACTTTTACTAAATTTGAAGTTATTAGCTGCAAATTTAAGACACTTAATCCATTTCTTATATAGCGCGGAATATCCGGAACACCTTGTACAATAGAAACAAAAGTTTTGACTTTCCTTACGGGCTAACCGTCGTGTAAGACAAACTGACCACACCTTTCGAAAATTACCAAGAATAATGATTTATAGCTCTGAATCTTGTTGATCTTTTCGCCCAATAACTTTTACGATCGGTTTTCGAGAAATGACCTTTTTCTTAGACGGTTGCAACGCGATTTTTTATTTTTAAAAAATACTTCCCGACCCCGCGCAGACCAAAGGCCATTTGATTGCCAAATTTGAAGTCGATAGCTTCAAATTTCGGACACTTATCGTGTTTCATAGCAACGTCCAAAAACAGTAGAAAATCGCAAAAAAAAAGATGGACGTCGAGGTTCGACCCCGGCCATTTTTAAATATCTTATGGACACCGCGGACACCGTTGAAAAGAAGCAACGTTTAAAGCGTCTAGCTGAAACAAGAACGGACGGACAAAAACAATTTTTTTTTCGACGCAGATCATTTCCGTACCAATGGCGGTCTCCGAGGACATTTTTATACGAGCGTAGATACTTTCGAAAAATTCGATTTCATCGATTCTCAAAAGTAACAAGATTTTATTTTTTTTTATCTTGAGCACTATCCCGATGCTCTATATAATAATACTACTACAACTACATATAAAATACAAGTATGTATGAAATTACAAAATTGAATGAATCATGCATTCTAACGGATTATTTTACATTTAGTTTAGTAACTGTTTCTTTAAATCTAAGCTAAAATTTTTACATGAACCAAGTAACTTTGATTTGAGGCCGCTATTTAAGGAGTCGAACAAGCTTCCAGCATTATACGTAAAAGAACATTGAATTTTTTTTGTTTTGTGCAATGGCATAGTGAGTGATGATTGGTGTCTTAGATTCAACACATGAATCGATTTCCTAAATACTAATTTGTCATTCAAATATTTTGGAATGTTGGAATTTATTACACGTTTCAAATAGCACAAAAAGTTGTATTTGAAAACATCTTTGATTTTTAACCAATTCAATCTTTTGAGAGCGGCCGATATGTGATCAAACTTGCGTAGCGATAAGATGTAACAGCGTACAATAAGACAAGCGAGGGAGGACAAGACTTTGACACAACTGTAGTTTGATATCGTAGGACAGTATATCTCTATTTGAATATAACAATTTTAAAGTCATATAACATTGTTTGGAGATGTCATATTCTCGTCAATATATAGACCCAAATTTTTAACAACTTGAATAAGATTGTTGTTAACGTATAATTTGATTTTGGATTTCTGTTTCTTTTCCTCTTAGGGGCAAAAATAATGACACTACACTTTGATGGTTTTAAACGTAAATTATGACCCTCCGCAAAGGTGATTACGTTTTCCAAATCCTTATTTATGCTGTTCACTGCCTCGCCTGCTATATCAATCTATGTTCATAGCACCACTTTAGCCAACTGTTTGCTTTTTAAAAATTACTATTAACGATCAGGCATCCGAATGGGAAAATACGAAAACCACATATGGGACTATTAAATAAATCCTATTACGACTATTCGTCGTTTCAGCGCGTCGGCCACGGTGACGATCACCATTCGGACGCGGACCGATCTCCCGTTTTCCTGCAGTTCGTCGACTGCGTGTGGCAGATAACGCAACAGTTTCCCAACGCGTTCGAATTCAACGAGCACTTCCTCATTTCCGTCCTGGACCATCTCTATTCTTGTCGATTCGGCACGTTCCTGTTCAACAGTGAGCGGGAACGGGTGCAAGAGAGTTGGTACGCGAAGCTGTCACGTTTCCCCGTCATATCTTAACGTTTCAGAAGTCAAGGACACGACGGTGTCGCTGTGGTCGTACACGAGCAGCAACCTGGACCTGTACCGCAACCCGCTGTACTGGGCGAGCAGCCAGCAGCAACGGGTACTGGTACCGATAGCCAGTATTCGCCACATTAGGCTTTGGAAGGCATACTACTGCAGGTGGAACCCGAGCATGAGGACTCAGGTAAGGACCGCCGCCCACTGTGGTCAAGGTTTATGCGGTCGGTTGTCGCGCAGGATCCAGTGTGTCAGCGCATCAAGGAACTGTTGAAACTGAAGGAGCAGCTGGAAAACACGGCGGCGGAGTGTCGCAGGGAACAGCAGCAGAGGATGGCGAGGAGCAATGTGTCGCCCACGTGAGTAGTCGACTCGGAGGAAGCACTGTACCAAAACAAAGTGATTAAGTCATGTAATAATTTGTACTATTAATTAATTAGTTAAGAAATAAACGTCGTAAATGGTTCAGAGTTGATTAATCAGCCTTGTCCTAAGAAAAAAAAAAAATTTTAAAAAATAAGAAAGGAAAATTGGAAAAATGGAAAATTTTAGGAGAAATCGATGAATATAGTCTGTTATTAGGTAATAATTCAAGTTATAAAACAGTCGGTCTCGACTAAAAATAGTAGAACATAATAAACATTTATTAATATTATTCTGGCGCATCCGCCAACAGTTCAAACATTCTCTGACTAAAAGGACCGAAAGAATATTATACTGGAAATAATTTTTAGGTTCATATTTAATCTGTTAGCGAGCGTTGTAACTATGGTCTTGTAGAAAAATGCATTTTACTAAATAATGTTTTATTATAAGTTGACAAGACAAGAGACTAGGCGCAATGGATGTAACAATCTTTAAGAAAAAAACCGAACCAATAAAGAAAATTCCTTCAAACCGCATATTGTGCATTCGGGAGTTATTTCAAGAAGAGCTATTTTTAACATTTCTAGAGTCAAACGTACATGAGAAACATTATTTACAGGTATATTTTTTATTAATAAGCAAGGGTTTCTCTCTCACAAGAGACCACATTTGCTCAGATAGGTGAGTTATTAGGTCAAAATGAATAAATATTTATTTACGCAAGGAAAGGTAATAATAATAATAATAATCTTATAGGCATTTTAATCAGTAAGACATTAGCCCTATATAAAAATGCGATGAATCAAAAAGATGCAGAATTATACAAGGATTCCAATAGCTTTATCAAGTTATAATAAAACATTATTTAGCAAAATGCTAATTGCTACCCGACCATAGCAATAGCCTCGAAGCGGCAAAATGATTTCCAGTATTTTCTTTGCACTCACTTTAGTTATAACAAATGTTACCCCAAACCTCTACAAGTCGTAGTTTCGGGAATACAGTCGCTTAAATCGCTTATTCGGCTACCCTCTATAATAAATTAAAAGATGTTGTTCTAACAGTAAAATTGGACGTGTACGATAAGAAAAATATATAAAAATTAAAGTTCGCAAGTAATCTAAACACAAATGCATCGCAAACGCATAGGGAAGTTATTTTTTACAAAATTGGCGAATGCGCCAGAATAGGATTTTCAATTGGGTATGTTGCGCTATATATTTATTGAAAAGAAAATCCAAATGGTGTTCTACTACGATTGCTACGGTTACGATGGCGACGATTAATTCAATTTTCAACCATCCAGCATCCGTTCAAGAAATCAGGTTTTCTTTAATCACATTATTGCGACGCGATGGTGGATGCACAAAATTTTAAATAATATGTCAGACACAAGTAGACAAGTCCCTAAGATGTGTTAAAAGCATTGATTATCGTATGTACAAGCACTTAATTATTTTTTGTATATCAGCAAAAACAAAGCTGCCGCTTCAGGAGCCACGGTGGCCATATAGGGGCGTAAGGTACTTCTCGAAAGCTAACAATTTGCGGCTTGTGGATTTGTTTTTGACCGCTCTCTCTCTCAAAAATGAAAAACGTCTGTAACTACAAAACTTTCTTTTTACGAAAAAAATTCGTAAAAAAACGCAGACCCCCGCGTATTACTACGAATTTTGGAAGATCGCAAACCTGTTGCCTTAGTTTAATAAATCATTTATTTTAAATTAAAAAAAATATACATAAAATTATTTTCACCGGACTAACTAACAAAACGAGCGTGTTCGGCAACCTTCAGAAGTGGGATTTCTCTCGAACTCGGCAAATTTCCGTAACGACGGTCCAGCAGCAGCATCCCCGAAAATGGCGGCGCCGCGGGAGCGCAAAACAACATCCGGACGACGAAAATCAATAAGAGGGGAGCGGGGAGGCAGGCAGATGGGGGATGGTGACTACCCGTGACGCGAAAAAATGCTCGACGTCGTGGTGCTTGAATCGCGCGTCTCTTAGCCGACGGGGAAAGCGGCCGAAACTATGCTAGATGACGATGTTGACGACCAACAACAACCTTTTGTTTAAAGCGACCGTGCTCGCGCTATGCGTTATATCGTTTGTGCACGTTTTCTTGTTTCCCCTGTACGACGTGGAGTCCGCGAGGGGCACGGCTAAGACCTACGCGGATTTCGAGCAGAGTCTCTGCATGAACAACATCAAGCGAAGAAAGGTGTGGCGACTGTCCAGGTGTCCCCAGTACGGTATTGTTACAATCATGCAGGGAGGAAGGCTAGGTAATTTTTTTTTTCACTACGATTCGTTCAAAAAAAATCAAAAATATTTTTTAATTGTATTATACCACAGCACATGGTAATAAAATGAAAAACCAAGGTGGTGATTTTACATGTTTTCAATGTGCTGATTCCAAAAATGCCATTGGCATTTTTGGAATCAAATATATGGTCAAAATAGAAATTCCCTACCATTGGCATTTTTGGAATCAAATATATGGTCAAAATAGAAATTCCCTACTTAAAATTTGATTTCAATTAGCCAAATATATATCTGGAATTTTTCTTGACCCAATAAAACGCAATATGCGTTGATTTCAAAATGATAAGTTTCTTCCCTGCAGAGCAGAGTGGCTATACAAAAGATCTTTGTTTTTTGTGCACTCGGTCAACAACAAAAATTGATGATGCTGTTCTGGGTACTGGTCATATAAATTTTCGGAAAAACTAAGAGCTAGTATGTTTGGTTCTCAAATAAGGCAACTTGACTGAACTGAAGAAGACGGAATCTGACGCTTAATGTTTATTTGTTGAAGTAGCACAACATTTTCTTGGTAATGATTCACTTAATCAGTGAAATATAAGCTTTAAATTTCTTAAATTCTTGGTTGGAACATGAGCATAAATGTTCATCCACAACCACAGAAAACAAGGAGAAAAATTGTATCAGGCCATAGTGGGGTTATCGTTCTCAAGGGTGGACCAAACTGTAGGCCATGAAACTTCACAAAACAAGCGATTTAAGTCGCCTTGTTAGCATGGAAACGTTAACAATAATTTTGTAACGGTTGTTGTCAGTGTCATTTTGTGAATTTTTTTTAATACAATTTTCAACATGAAAAGTGGAGGGGATTTCTTAAAGAAATCGGCTTTTGCAGGAAACCAGTAAAGGTAAGTTTTGAGACTAATTTGATGGTAAGTAAATTAGTCTAAAAGGCAATTATCCTTAAAAAACTCGAGTCATTAAGCTTGTTTATGTAAGACATTGTTATTATTTCTGGTATTTGAACAGTGAAAGGTATTGTCATAACTTTTGTGAACTATGGGTTGTCATGCTCTTAACTTGATTTAACTTTTTAGAGCTATGACAAAAGCAAAAATTGTAACAAAAACAGTGCAAAGTGCTTAACTGAACGATACTTTAGATGTATAAAAACATTCATTTGTTTGAATCTATATTAAATAAATAACTTTTTTTTTGTTAAATTGTTACTTTTGGTACATCCTGCATTACTATTTTTTTCATGATTTAATGAATTAGTTTTTTTTCTTTTTATTGATGTGTTTTTATTAATATTACGTAAATTTTATTGGCATTACAAAAAAATCGAATTAGCCAAACACCAAGGGTTTCCCTGGCCCACTGTGAGGCGGTGCGATAGCTACATGATGGTAGACTGCTTTTGAAGCCTTCAGCGAGGCTCCCATAAACTCAATTCTAAAAAGATGCCTAAAATAAAATGTCTGTTGGTCTGTGTCGTCTTTAGCAGCAATATGAACCAAATTTGAAAATGTTAAATCATTTTGAAATCAAATTAGCATTTAATAAGCTCAAACGCGCAAAATTCCCTTTCAAAGCTTTGTGTAACAATTAGTGCTATGATATTGTCGGCGTTGGAACACATCTGCGTCAAACTGAACTAAAATAACGAGATTATTATGGTTGGTGTTGTTTACAGACCACCTAACTCAAACACATCATTTTTGAACCTTTATCGAGGACACCTTATTTCTGAAAGGTTAGAATCCGTAGTGAACACTTATTCTCTAAAACAGGATCAGACGAGGGTTCGCTCAAAGCCAGCGTCTTTATTACACCTTATTTTCACTAATATGCCTAATATTACCGAATGTGGAGCCAGTGACGTAGGCAATTCAGATCATTTTTTAATATATATCAAATATAATCTTTTAAATATTGCTGTAAATGACACGTTTTGTGTGGTCGACTAATCGAATTAACCCTAGTTTTCCAGAGAGATTTTACTCAAACGCATCCTTGAAAAGGGCCAAAAGAAAAATCACAAATTTCTTTCGTGGATGACCGACAACATAAAATATATGCAAAAACTGAGAAATAGAGGTCTATGGTTGTCATGTACACCACACACTGGCCCGGGAACATACAGATGTTATCCCATTTCCAAAAACTAAGAATCCGCGCGTTCGATCAGCATTATTCCTACTTTCTCAAAAGTCTTGGAAACAGTAATAGAGCTGAGACACCATGTCCGCGCAAAGAGAACATAGCTGCGAGAGTGGTCTCGCCGTGTAAAGGATGATTTATTCTCTAATCTCAGGATTAGTGTTGCTAGGTTTTGTTAATGCATTTGCCACATGTTTGCTATTTTAAAATTCATTGGTTTAAATCTTAATGCACAAATCTCTAAACTCCTTTCTATCTAATAGAACAAAACGAGTTAGTTATAATGTTCACTACGAGAGCCGTTGCTTCGGGAGTGCCGCAGGGCAGCTTCTTTGGTCCTCTTTTGTTTAATTAATGACACTCCCCTCCAATTTTATGATTCCAGTAAAAGCCTGAGTTTAATTCTTGGAATCCAAACTTCGTTTCCGCCGGCATGATACTGAAAAAAGCTTATGGTAATTTATTCTTATGCATACTACTTATCACAACAGACCAAGAGACTGCTCTGCGACTCTATGGTGTTGTCTCAGCTGAACCACTGTTCTAGTGTTCACAGCCCTTCAAAAACTTCAAAAACTCAAGCTTGAGGTTGATTTATGGAATTCAAAGACCCCAAAGAATTTTAAATTTGCATGCATAGTAGACACAAGTTGCATATGGCGTTTTCTCAAATGTCAACGGGCGTCTCTTCCAAAAATTGCTCCTTTTTGTTCAACTTTTTTTTCCTTTTCCTTTCCTTTTGGATGTATGTTGTTTATTTGCTTTGGCATCCGGAACAATAATTTTTCTTTTTAAATGAGGCTTTAACAGTATCTGGGTTTTGCTTGGCTGGCTATCGTTATTATTACTATTATAAAACACTTCTATACGGTTTTGGGGTTTTTGGTTTAATCTTAGAAACTCTAAACTTAGAAAATGACCTTCTCATCTAAGTAACGCGGCAATATTTCTCAGCAGATAATAAAATTACTTTGCAAACGAACCCTCACCGCATAGGCGCCATCATCAGGACGGCGACGCGCCCCATACGACCTTAAATACGCATTTTGTAGCTGGCTATTTTGATAGAACGGAGTTAATTAGCTCTAGCCTACGCAAACAACCTTGTAAACAACATTAATCGATGTCTAGTATTCCACCAAACCGTTGAAACGTGGTCGAACCCCAAATTAAGACAAATAATCTTTTCAACTGCAGGAAACCAGATGTGGGAGTACGCGTCAGTATGGGCAGTAGCGCGGCGCACGGGGCTCGAGCCTTACGTGCCACGATGCATCCGACTCAAGCTGGACCAAATATTCGAACAGCTCACGGTGCCGGCATTCGAAGAGATCGCCCATTGTCCCGTCGAAATCGGTGCTTTTGTGAAATCGATAGAGGCGTGGACCTTCACGAACCAGGTACGGTAGACGTAAGGGGTGTTTTTTTTCGATGTATGGAACTTTAAGTTGCAATAAAACAACGATGGATTATTCGATTGACATGAATTTTATTTATCCGAAAGATAATCTCGTGGCATTACATTTTAAATATGATTTCTGGCATATGCCCGCCACGGCTGGCGCGGATGTAGTCCAATCTGGACGTCCAATTTTCGATGACTTTTTCCAACATTTGTGGCCGTATATCGGCAATAACACGACGAATGGTCAAGCGTTTGTGGCTTATCCGCATAGACCAATGACTTTACATAGCCCCACAGAAAGAAGTCTAGCGGTGTTAAATCACAAGATCTTGGAGGCTAAGTCACAGGTCCATCCGCAAAATCTTCCATAAAGTGGATGGACACACTGCGCTCGAGGGCGGATGGACTCAGTCGGGTCTTCCTCAATGCTACGCTCTACAGCAGCAATAGCTTCTTCTGTACGCACCGTACGGCGTCTCGGGGATGCGAGTTATCAATAAGAGCAAACGTGGTTAACGATAAAATTGACGGAGTGTGCGATACGTATTCCGCACAGAACCATTATTTTCGAAATAAAATTGCACTATTTGCAAGCGTTGTTCAGGCGTGAGTCTATTCATGATGAATTGCCAACCCAAACTGAGAATAAATCACTTAACAGCTGTTAAATCGGTCGCCAACTTGAACAGTAATGCCAACTTAAAGTTCTATACATCGAAAAAAAAAACACCCATTACATAACGGTATGTCGAACGAATTCGACGTACCTGACGTTTCAGAGCATCATATTACCGCGGTATTCGATACAACCTGAGCTGGTGCTTACGTGGGTCCAAGATATCGTCCGCGAGTTCACGTTGCGCAGAAAACTGCGCGACAAGAGTCAGCAGGTGCTGCGCGGGTTCGTCAAGAACTCCGCACACGTCAACCACACCTTCGTCGGCGTTCACGTTAGACGTACAGATTACATAGGCTACTTGATGAGGTACGACGCTGGTTTTGGTTAGTTTTGGTAATTAAAAGGAGCTCATTTCGGATCATCAAAAATATCGTACCAAATAATGATCGTGATTTATGCCAAGCGCTCTTCTATATCGTTAAAGTTCATAAAACACGTGTCCATTGCTATAAATACAGCTTTTTCTATTAAGTAACGAACTAAACTCAGCCTTAATCTAACGTTTTAACATAATCTCGCCAGAAAGAATGAGAAATAGCGTAAGAAAAATTGTGTTAGGACACGTTAATAAAGAATAAACAGTGGTGAAATTTCGGAAAGAGTTACAAAAAGTAGTGCGCAGTACGGTAAAAATGGCTGTGCCTCGAGAGGCTGATATCTTCGATTTAATGAGATTTGAACACATTTTGAGAAAATACTGCTGTAAAAATTCTACATCTAGACTGAGACCTGTCGGAATTGACCAACGGCCGGCGGTCATGTGGTTCGTTGAAAAGGAGGCTTCAAGTAACTGCGCATGTGAATATTAATTGGTTCATTACAATTTTTTCCGAAGTTTTGGGCATGAAACGTGTAGCAGGAAAATTTGTTCAAAAACTGCTTCATTTTGAACGAAAGGACCGTCGAAGGAGCATCGCTCAAGAGCTTTTAAACGACGTGAATGATGAGTCTGATATACTCAAAAAGGTCATAACTGGTGGCGAATCATGGGGAAGAACCCAGAATCGCCAAGACCGCAAAAAGCACGTCAAATTCGATCAAATATCAAGGTTTTGCTTGCTGTTTTTTTTTATTATCGTGGCGTAGTACATCAAGAGTTCTTACCACAAGGTCGTAGGGTCATTAAAGCGAAGTTATTCACCGTTTGCGAGAAGCATCGTTGCTTATGTCTAACTTTTTTGCCAAAAACAAAACCAGAATCACCATAACCCATGTCCGACCCGGAGGTCTGGAACGATTGAGGAGATATAGAAAAAATCGCTATACCAGAAATGCTTCTAGGATTTTAAAAAACGTTGGCATATCTGAGGGGATTGTTTCGAAGAATATAACATTAATTTTGATGAAGAAATCTTAAAAGTCACCTTACTTTTTCAACACACCTGGTACTTGTGGTAGGGCTAAAACCGCAGAAATTTTGGGCACTGACCAATACGTATACTATCACTTCTCGACAAAAAAATGTACCATGTAAGTTGTGTTTACGCTGTCTGATTGTTTATGTGAATTTTCTATTCGATTGACAAAATGTATGTATTTGTATCTTCACCGTAGAATTTTCTGTCCGAGTTTTTTGCGACGTTTTGTCCTTTGTTTACTGTTAAAAAGTTTGTCAGGTGCAAAGACCAAACTCAAAATAGCAATAAAGTGCGCAAAACTCTCCTTAAAATGGATGATTCTCCAGCTATATTTTTTAAAAACCATTTCAATGAAGGCATCGAATAGCAATGAAGTAACAGCGTTGGTTTGAATTATATTTTAGTTCATAAAAATTCTTTTGGTTAATTGCAAGCGAAAAGTACTTTTTGAGGCTTTTTTGGGATCTAAATAATAACAAATAAACAACTAGAATATCGAATTGCAACAAAATCATAAACTATAAACTTAATTATTAATGAAAAATTTGCAAAAACTGTTGAACTATAAATGTTTTTTTTAATGTAAGAAAAGAAGTTTTTTACCGACATTTTGATAAATCACGTTAACTTTCACACGAATTTTCGAAAACGCCTTTCAGAAAACACAACGCCCGCCCCGCCGACATAACCTTCTACTTGAACGCGATGAAGTACTTCGAGGCGAAGTATACGAATGTGACGTTCGTGTTCGTCAGCGACGACCCCGCCTGGTGCGCGCGCAAGTTCGCGCACAAGGCCAACGTGTTCGTAGCATCTAACAGGCACAAAAACACGCCGGCCTTGGATCTGGCGATCCTGGCGGCCTGCAACCATTCGATCTACGATTACGGCACTTTCGGCGAATGGGGCGCCATCCTGACCGGCGGCGAAACCGTGTACTACAATCTCACGCACCACTCGTCCGCCAAGATCGGGGAGATCATGAAAAACTGGCACGCCCTGTAACGGGGCGCCGTATTTTTTTAATTCCACAAAAAGGCTGACCACAAAAAAGAACCGTTTATTTTTCTATCCTACTAAAAAGATAAAACTTCTATCAGGTAATTTAGTTTAGCGCCAAAGCCCCCTATAATTCAACCGTTCACGTTTATTTGTCTATTGTCGTGCGCACATATACAGGGTGATTCGCGGTGGACGCGTGGACCGATGCGACGTTGTGGCGTCTTCGAAAAAATACGATATTTAAAATTGCACGTCCCGTATTAGGATCGCACCTTCCAAAGTATACTTTTTCAAAATTCCAAACTTTTTTTTTTCTAAGAAAACATTCAATTATATTTAATGATTTTAAAATATAGATTTTTCTCTCGATAACTATTAAAAACTGTAAGTTTTAAAAATATTGTACTAATAAATAGACTGTTTTCATAAAAATACAAATCTTTCCGAAACAAAAAAATGGATTTTTAAACATGCACATTTAACACCACAACACCCGATAAATCTGAAACGGTGTGCGGTGTTTAATATTACTTTTTATTGAAAATTGGGCCCACCACAATAAATAAGTTTTTGTCTATCATTTTTAAAAAGAGGAGTTATCATTTATCCAGCCCAATTTGACCCGGCCTGTCCAGAAAACTAATGGGAATGGCGGAAGAAAAATGTATTACTGAAGTGGTCGATTTCCAGGACGATCGCCAGAAAGCGTAACCGCCAATCTTAAACATTTAAAGTCATATTTCTCTGAAGTCTCCCTCCCCCCTAGCTTTATTTTGGTGTTTTGTCACCTATTTATAACAAAAAGTGGTCGGGGATGGTTCTTTTTTTTTTTTTGAACAGCTGAAACACCTAAATGACTAAACGAATTTTAACAAACTTGGCCTCGTTGGAAAAGGCATTTTTCTACTCCCTTCTGTAATTATACACCGATCTAGCGTGCGGGAACCGTCAGTTTACCACGTGAATCTCTAGTTCCACGGATCCGAGCTACCTCGGACATTTCGGCTTGAATTTTGACGTGTGCCAATTTTGACGGCCATGTCAGTGAATGTATTCGTGTTGTTTTGCAAAAATATAGTATACAACACGTTTTATAAACTTTTTAAGTCACTCTTTTAGTAAACAATTAAACGAATAAACTGCCTTCATCAAACCAGTCGTATCTGTCTAGTTCTTAGAGTTGCCGCTAGAGCGCGTTTTTTGTTACACAATAACACAACTGAATGCAGTAAAATGACTTTTCTTCATAAACATGTAGCGAAATTATACCTAGATTTCAGAGAAATCTAGACCGTAAACATTTAAGATAGCGGTTACGCTCCTTTAGTCGTAAATTTTGTTTACAGAAAATCACGATGACTAAAATTTTTTTGGAGTGACGCCGCATCGCTGTATAAATATGTCCTCGCACCATGAACCACCCCGTATAAGCGGACGAATTTCGCAAGAGAGAGAAGGGAGTCTGGACCATTCCAAAGGTGCACCTCAAGGCCCCGTCGCGGGGCCCCTATCGCATTTGTTTATTCGTCGCTTGTCTGTGTAATCAGCCTCGAAGCGTATTTATATACTGAGTGTGCCAAAATTGTATGCTTTAAGATGGTATTTCGTATCTGTGATCTACTAAAGAAAAACTTATATATTTCTTCCACTAACCAGGTGTACAGTATGTGCGGATTTTATTTCAATACGAAACGATATCGGTGGATCTAATTCGAGACCCAGAAAAATTAGTAAAAAAGTCGTTATTTACCAAACGAACGTGCCAAACTTTTTCCAATGTAAAAATTTCCGAAATCCGAATACACTGTCTACCACGCCTCCGAACATAAAATATAGCTAAGTGTGACCTGACAGTATTTATATATATTCAGATCTACCGTATATGTATACTGTATAATAGTTCTATTTGTAAATATACTATATCTCTGTGATACAAATTCTACAATCAAGACGTTATTTTCTTTCGCAGCTAGGAACGACAAATCGTTAAGACTAAAACGTGTGTGAAATAGTTTAAAAATAAATTGGATGTCTGTAATACGAAAGGCGGTCGTTTCATTTTCCGTCGAAAAGTCCCTTTAGGGAACGTAAGGTTAATTGCTACATTAAGGCCGAAAATGTACGATTTTCATTCGGGACACGCCGCGTTTATTACATTCGATCGCCAAATCGATTTTTCCATCAGATAAAATAAGAATTCCGCGACTAATTTCGTATGCGAATCGCGATTTTTTCGCTTGCATCCTCGAGCATATATAAACGACCGGCCGTGTTAGCTTGTTTAGTGGTTGCTTTAGCGAGATTGTTATTGCAAATTGAAAAACATGTGCCGAGTAATCCGAGCGATTCTAATGGTAAGTTAAAAACATTAAATCATAGATCGAAAGTCAGGATTTTGTTAAAAATGATTTCAATTTCCTGACGTTTGTTTCAGCTCGTAATTGTTGCTCTCGTCTCGGCAACAATTCTCGCAGCCCCCGCCCCCAAGCCACAGTGGGTCGTGAGTCCCTACTCCTACGGTTACCCCTATTATTACGGCAGCTACTACTACGCCGCCCCCGGTAAGACCAACTACTACGCCAGGGCTATAAAAAGTAGATTTAATTATCCTCCGCACAACTAATCCCTAAACTGTCGATTAACTGTGAACGTTTTCTGTTTCAGGTTACGTCGTCGTTTAGGACAACCGTAAAACATAAATGTACAAAAAAATATTCATAGCGGTATTCCTGCTTATGTTAACACTGGCGATACCTCTGTTTGTAATATTCTGTATATTTTTAAACCTGTGCTTAATTTTCGATTTGTAGAATAATAATTGATTGAAAATAAAAAATAAAATGTATTATGTTGCGAAATTCATTTTACTTACGATTTTAAAATGTGTACGTAACCATTTCGGTAATAAAAATTCGATTTCTGGTTCCGACCGTTCTGTGTTCCGTGCATAACAGCAAAAACTCTCAAACTAAAATTAAACTAACCTCGCATATGCCAATTCCAATGAAAACTCGTCACGTCAAAACAAAATCGAGTTAAGATAAAGATAACCAAAATATGAGATTGTAAAGTGGCCAAAGAGACAGTTCGAGATGTATTCGGCAGTAATTATTGCTGTCTTTTTATATATCTGCAATCTTAAAACGAGTCTTCAGAATGACATACAGGGCTTCGACGATACTATCGTCTTCGATATCGACTGGCCAGGGAAGTTGCCCGAGGATTATAATTTAGCCAGCGGTGAGACCATTTTGGTGACCTCGTCAATGCAAGAGAAGTACAAGTGCGTGATACCGAACCTGGTCGAGAAAAACACATCACCGGAAGAGCCCTACTCAGGTCCTGGTCCATTGGAATTGATATCGCCGTTAATTACACAGAAATTGTGCTCGTTCAGACTGGAAAGTTACTGGGATTATGAGGTCTGCCACGGCCGCTACATAAGACAGTACCATGAGGAAAGGGAAGGGAAAAAGGTTAAGATGCAGGAGTATATTTTGGGTAAATGGGACGAGAAATATTTCGAGAAGATGTTGGAGATAGAGAAGAAGGAACGCGATGACTTGAAAGACGATGAGAAAGTGCCCACAAAAAAGATAGATAATGTAAATTTGCCATACTTTGAAATTACAATGGAGAATGGTACGGCCTGTGACTTGAACCAAAACAAACCCAGAGTTACCAAAGTCTTGTATGTTTGTCATGTGCATGGCAAGCATGAGATTTACCTTTTTAAAGAAACTTCGACTTGCTTATATGAAATCATTATTCTGACCCCTTACTTGTGCTCACATCCAAAGTACAAGCCGAAAGACACGGGTGAACTTAAAATAAACTGTTACCCAATGGATGGAGCATATGATAAGCCCTATAACCTTATAAAACTGAAACATGATAGCGCCAAACTGCGTCCAAATTTTGATTTGGATAACCTTAAAGTAGAACTGATCCAATTTGATAATAATGATGCAATGAAAGGGCCTGAGGACTTGGCTCCCACTAGTTTTAAAAAAATACAGAACAGCGAAGATGCGTCGCCCGTTTTTGACTTTCTGAAAGGGGAGCATTGTTTGTTTGGGGGTACCGGTTGGTGGAAATTTGAGTTCTGTTATGGCAAATCTGTGACACAGTATCACATAGAAAAGGACGGCACCAAAACTTCCATAAATCTAGGCGTGTTTGATGAGAAGAAACATCTACAGTGGCTCAAAGATCATCCCCATAAGAGGCCCAAACCAGTGGGACAAAGGAAGCAGCTGTCTCATTTGTATTCGGGGGGCAGTATATGTGATAAAACTGGAAAGCCAAGACAAACCGAAGTGAAATTAAAATGCCTGGAAAATCCAGCACATCCCAGTAGTGTTTCCCTGTATTTGTTGGAGCCAAAATATTGTGAATACATTTTGGGGGTGGAGTCTCCTATAATTTGCGAAATTTTAGACAATGCTGATGAAAATGGACTTGTTGCCATTGCCGAAAGAGATACAGACTTACAGTAATTCTGTGAACTTGTGTTACGTTGTTTTAATTTATTATCTATTGTTTGATTGCATTGCAAAAAACTTTGTAAATAAAACATTAAATTGATTTGACTTACTTTTGATGTGTATTTCTCTCAACACGGCACAAGTCGAAGGTCGTGAAGTAAAACTAATCTTTTCATTAAAACTTTTTTCCTTAACACCTTTTAAACACAGAATAATTTTATTCTGGTAGAACCGTATTAGCTTAATTTCTCGTTCGTAATCCGCTAAAAATTAGTTTTGAATGTACTAACTTACCAATTTGTGATCTTCGCAGATCTGTCAGAATCGTGTTTTATTTGTTGACAAGAGGTTAACAACTGTTAATATTTTGGTAAATTGTAAATACTTTGTTCATAACCGTGAGAATCGATTTACGATTTTACCTCTTCATGACTCTGTGAAGAAGATTTAGGACGTAAAATGTCTAAAACGAAAATTAGACCTGTGTTTGGAAAAAGGCCCCCTTGCAGCATATCCGGACGCCTCCAAGAACGCAAAAACAAAGCCAAAGCTTTACGACTGCTGGAGCAAAGTAGGAAGCCTGATAAACCGGAAGATTTCATCATATACGAAGACAGCGAAAGTGAGGAAGAACCCGAACAGGTTCAAAAAGAAGTAATGACGACGTCGTACAATTTTGTGAATTACGTGGTAAACCGCGAAGCCCAGATTAGTAACATCAGTTCGGTATCGGGTGACTACGGTAGTAGACACATATTAACTCACGAAATGTTTAAGGAGACTCCTATTAATTTAGGAAATATTAATAAGGTGTTTTGTTCTCAGTGGCTTAGTGAGAGACAAGTCGTGTTTGGTACAAAGTGTAATAAGGTAGGTTAAGCTGCTAGTATTGATCACATGAGCTTGCACTTCGGCTTTCAGCTAATGGTATTTGATGTAGTCACACATAAGCTTGATCAAATCCCGTCACTGGTAAGTAAAAGAGACCCACCAGGAACGGATCAATGTGGGATTCACTCGGTACAGTTGAATCCATCAAGAAGTTTACTGGCGACGGCCGCTAGAAACACATGCGATATTGCGGTGTATAGATTGCCCACCTTGGATCCTGTTTGTGTAGGCGAAAACGCGCATAAAGACTGGGTACGATGAGAACAAAACGGGATAGAAGAGTTTGGGTTATTATTTGCTTGTAGGTTTTCGATATGTGCTGGTTAGATGATGAATTTCTAGTGTCTGGATCTAGGGAAACCAAAATGGCTCTCTGGAGGATAACCGAAGACATAGTGGACTCGATTCACGAGATTCCCACTTATAAATTGATATCTCCCTTGTCTTTAAAAGAGTGCAAAAATGCCCAAAAGGTTCATCCACAAACCTAATAAAACCAGGACCTTGGTAAAGCGAAACATATTTTTAGATTAGGGCTTTGACTTTCAATAAAAGTTATCGCGAGATTGCCGCGCTAAGTTTAAATAGCTACATTCACATATGGTGCGCAGAGACCTTTAAGCAGAAAATCTCTCGGAAATTGCCATCCTCTCAGGAGAGTGTTTGTATGGCCGTTCAAGATTCCGGGCTCTACGCGATCGGTTGCAAGTCTTATACCTTGCTTTTGGATTGCCGAACCTTGCAGGTAAAAACTACAATAGGTGTTTTTTACAAGTGCCATTCCTTAAATATATTTGAAAAAAATCATATAAAAGATCATTTGCATAAAGAAAATGGCAAACAGTCAACAAATTTAAGTTTTCTTTGTTAAAAAGCTAATACAAATTTTGGTCCAAATATTCACGTTTTTTCAAAAATTATATAGAAAAAACAAATAAGAATGAATTCTGAACACTGTACAGTTGGATTTATAAGATTTTTTTTGCCTAAAAACCCATAGTATTTAAGATAGTGGGAGGTATTAAAAAATAAAAATGTAATAATTCATATATAGTTTTGCATTTAATATTCAGTAAGATCAAAAGCAAAAATGCAATTAAGTTCCGTCAAGATATGAAGAAATAAAAACAGCATGTAATATGAAATTAAATGAAAAATAAACAAAATTAGAAATAGTGAAAAATATATCAGAAGAGCTATTCTTTATTTTGAAAATTACTGTGCAGTATAAAAAATAATTAGAATTAAAAGCGCATTAAATAAATACTTGATCGGATAAAAACGAGTTGAGGATTTGTTTTTTTTTTAGTAACTGAGGTTAAATCACAAATCCAAAATTTAATGGTTATTTGGTTATTTATATTTCGATCTTCTTTTTGATATGCAATATACGTTTTTCAAGGAATATTAGCAATCATATTGACTATCAATACTTTATTTATCGCTGTCCTAAACAGCGTATTAGGTGATTGTCCGAATCACTGTCGTAGGTTTTTCAGCCAAGATGTTCTTCTTCTTCCCAAGCCTCGTCTTCCCTCAATCTTAATGAATTCTTTATTTTTCTTGTATTATCGCACTTATCCTTAACATGCGCTTGTATACCCACATTTCAAAAGCTTTTTTAAAATAGTCTCTATGAGAGTACGAGATTCTACTCCACACAACCAGATTTTCTAAGAATTCTAAGTTCGTGTACACACACCACTTTCCACTCTTGCTTGTTCAATTCTGATTTTTATTTCCAGTGAATGGTCCTCGCTTAATAATTGTCTCAGATATTTAATCCTCTTGACCCTTTCAAGTTTACTTCGGCCGATCCACAGTTCTGCATGTATATTTGATTCTTTAGTTACAGCCATAAGTTAGGTGTTTTTCATATTTTGTTTAAGACCGTAATGGTTGCATCTAAGAGTTTTTGAAGTCCTTTAATATTATCTGCCAGTAGAACAGATAATCTGCATATCTTAAGTTGTTTATTATTACCTCGTTTATTTTTATTCCTTCTTCAATACTTACTAAAGCTTCTTGGAATATTGTCTCCGACTATAAATTAAAAAGCAATAGAATGCAACCCTGTCTTACCCCTCTTTAAATTGAGATGCTTTCAGTCATATTATTTGCTATTTTCACATCTGCCTTTTGCTGCACTCTGTCGAATGCTTATATCAGTTGGGATTTCATCTGGTTAAGGCTCTCTCTATTTCGGCATTGGTAATTTGTGGTCGAGTTATGTTTTCTTGTACGCCACGAACCACGCTTCGCTCACCTTCTTATATTTCGATACATAGCATTTAAATTGAAGTTTAAGATTTCGCTTATTCTTTAATTTGCAATTATGGCACAGTACTTGCGAAGTCGACGTCGAAATTCGAACGCTCTAACCTCAAAAAACCTTTTATATTCCACGCAGGCGGTAAAAAAGGTATCTTCACGGTATTCCGGGTGCGGTATCCGATCGGCCAGTTTCCAGGGCGATATTTTGACAGTGGGGACCGGGCTGGGAATGCTCATGTTTTACGACTTGAGGGCCGGGAAATACTTAGAATCTAGCATCAATTCTTCGAGGACCGTCGTACTTAAAGCTAGCAAAGGCTACGTGGTAAGTGTCCGGTTTCCACGGTGGCGCCTCTCGCGGAGCGATCGAGCGTTTCGTTTCAGTTCCCCGACGAGGAGTACATGGATAACATCCAAAACGTCAAGTATGTTCCCGCGATCTACACGCACTGTTACGACACTAGCGGCACGCGGCTATTTACAGCGGGAGGGCCCTTGCCAGCCACCCTGACCGGGAACTATGCCGGACTGTGGCAGTGAGACGCCACAGCTACGCCTTTTTATTGGTTTCAGATAAATCGCGTGATTTGGTTGTAACTGCATACAAACTTACCACGCCCTAAACAAATTTTTCCGAAACTTGATTCATCTTGGCGATACAAGGCCAAACTGAAAATTTTACATTTTGAACATGGAACTAATCAAAAAAGAGAAAACTTTTTTGCGTAGAATTCAATGCCGTTTTCGGAATAAAAGTCGAGTTTCGTTACATTAAAACAAATGCTATATTGCGAAAATCGCATCGCTCTATCTTTGCTAATAAGGGAGATTCCTTGCATTGACAACACATAGCTATTAGATTATATAGTGGCTCTATTACAGTAAAAAATGATGCGCCGCATGCGGCATTGATATTTTCCTGGAGACGTTTCGACCATTAACCTGCGCTTTGCGCCATTTTGTTCTGATCTCCCCACACTTAACTCGTTTTTCCAGAATATTTAAACTTATTGATCTGTCAGCGGCCATGTTGGTTGCTTTTCCATTGTTGTTTCATAAGCTCCTGCGTTATCACCATAGACAGGGCCTTTGTATATCTAGTAGTTATATGATTTACAACCACACACAATCAGAGCTTTGGTTGGGAAGCGGGGGGATTAAGACCTCTTTCTCTCCCCCCGTCTTTGTGGAATCTCTCGCGTGTAAATATTAATTTAAACAATTTTTATAAATATTTTAACCGTGCAATGTATGTAGCGTCGTGGGTAGGTATAAATTTGTAGATAATTATCGAAGTGTAATTTATGAATAAAAAACGACTTGCAACTGGTACGTCTCCTTTATTAAATATATTAATTAATTTTTTCGACGATTTATTGAACATACAGTGTTTGCAGCGGGTGAGCATACTTCGTTACGTGAGGAGGAAAATAAATCGAGTATTAATAATGAAACATTTATTTCGTCAAAAATAGGGTTTCTCGATGAGCAACAGATTTAGCAAATTTAAGGTAACGCGATTAAAAAAGGATTTGCAACATAGGGGAACAATCGATGAAAAAATTAAAAAAGTCCACGACACAATAGAAGAAAGTCACCAAATATGGAATAGTATCCCATTATGGCATACCTTAATTTCTCTAGGAATATAAGTATGAAACGCGACCATCTTCTGTTTCATTCGGTCTATTTACTACCTCACTCGCACCATCGTGTCAGTTGCACGAACGCTACATTTGTGACAGGCATGTTTTGTTATATTGTCACGCAGAAAATTTTAAAGGTAAGGTAATAAGCGACTGTTACCAGTTATTCCGTATGTATACATAAGTGTCATTCCATTCAGTATATCGATATTATGTTTGTTTCAACATTTTGTGATCTTCTGTCATAAAAATGATTTAGTAAATAAAAATATGAAGAGAAGAATAAGAAAAAAACTGCTAAACACACGACTAAAAATAAGAATGATTTTGAAGAAGACTCTCAGGAACAGGACCTTATTCAGTTTGACGAATACAATGAACATGACGAGTTGATAGACCAAGCACCTGACTTTGCTGATGCAGAATGTAGGTTCTAATCAAGACTTTTTTCCATGGAGTGGAATGGAGAAAGCTGGATTAAATGCTTAATGTGTGCACTCTGGGTACATTATGATTGTGCTGGTCCAGAGTTTGATATTTGGATTTGTGACTTTTGCAACTGAATTAATGATGTTATGAATGTTATTTTTATTTATATCACATGTCGATTTCTGTTAACGATATGATGATTTATGCTCATATTCCCATATATGGGTCTCTATTTCATATTTGGTTACTCATTTGTGATTTCGGTTTTTGTGTTAGAATTTAAACTGGCAACTAATATATTTGATTAAAGGCTGTTAATTACTATGACTGATTAGTAATAACATTAAACTGTTTTAATTTCTATGAAAGTTTTTTATATCCCTGAAACAAAATAGCATTCCATATTGGGCGAATTTCCTCTAAAACTTAGCCCAGCTGAACCCAGCACGTATTTCGGACGTTCTACTGATGGATAGATGGAGTTCTATGAACGTGAGGTAGGGGTGCCTGAGATTTGTGTTAGGTTCGGGTGTGCTTTTAGCTTGTACCTGTTGAACATACGCGTATAACCAATCACAGACCCAGAGAAAACCCGACAAGCCTCAACTTCAGAATCAAATTTTAACCGCCCTAAGTTTCGAATTTACTTGTTTAACCAAAAAAATCGTAAACTATGCTCAAATTAAATTTGTTTCCATTTTCCCCTTCACATCTGAAACAAATTCTTTCGCCAAGAGGGTGTGGATGCGAGAGGACTTCTTCACTTTTGTCTACGGGCGATTTAAGAACGACTTGTCCGATATCCTTTGCATACAGTACCATAAAAAGCAAACGTTTCAAAAAAAGCCCACAATTCCGAATATGGCGCAAAAAACGACGTTTCGATAGAAAAAAGGCAGTGTCAGGTTAGTATCCGACGAGGTCGGCGACAGTTTGGTCCATCTCGTCGGCGATCGCCTTGAATTTGCTTTTCTCCAACGTCAGGTCGTCTGCGCAAAAATTATTAGAGTTAGTAAAGCGCTGCAATATAAATAAGGAAACACCGAATACCAAAACTACCGCTACATAAGTCACAATAACGTCCAAATGACCTAGAATCGACCTAATACCAACCATCGTCGTCTTACCGACGTCGTTTGCGCGGTTCTAGGTCATTTTTCGGTCGCAACATCAACAATGCCAGTTTAACGGTCTCAAAAATGGTTTATTCCTTCAACTGTGAAAATTTTCTCTTGCTGCTCAATATATCTTGCGTGAAATAGGCCAATCTCGTCTGGGCATTATTCGCAAACTCTCGTATTATGGCGACACACTCTGTCACCACCAGTTCTACGAATTTCACGGCTTCGCTCAGGCACTCCTCGACGTCGGTGGCGTACCTACCGAGGGCCACTTTGGAATTTTCGAATATCTGCAGGAGTTTGTCCCTGGTTACGCGAAAGTAGTCGTTCAGAGACTCGACGCATCCTTTTTCGACGGTTTCGATCATTTTAGAATATTCTGCGGACGCATTCGTTATCTCCCTTTTGACGTTCCTGCAACGTCGCGGTTTATCTCACGCATGCGCTAAATTGATGCGGATCTCGCACTTTTTAACGGTCGTTTTAATTTGCTTCATCCTCTCTTCCGACTGGCGCGTGACGTCTTCGAAACGCGTCGCCGCTTCCTCCGCCATTTTTTTCAGTGACGCTTGGGCGGAGGACTTTAGCTCCTCTATGCTGCAGCAAGCCTCGTTCCGAATGCTTTCTATCATTCGGGCCACTGCGGATATTATCCGGAGAGGGTTTAAAATCAACAATTCTGCTAACCTTACCCAGCAATTTGAAGAACATAATTTTGAACCTGTCATTAGTCAAATCATTTCGCGGTCGTCAAAGTGCCATATAATAGGAAAAAATAAATAATACAGAAAAAAATAAATTGAACTCATATATTTTTACCGACGACAATGTTACAAATAAATAAAATAAATATTATTAATAAACTACCGGTTAGACATTTGGTATCCGAGCTACGTTCCAGCCGCCGCCACTAATGCCGGTTTGGTTTTCGTGTTGGTAAAGAGTCGCTTTGAAACCACCACGTGGGGTAGCGGCGCGGAACGCGTAGGTATATATATAGTGTGTGGCAATAAATAGTAAGACGTGGGGGGAGGGTTTAGAGGATGAGCTCGACGAAGGCGGTGTCGAGGTCGTCTCCGATTTCCTTGTAACGCTCTTTCTCCGCGACAAGGTCGTCTGCAACGCGCAAAAAAAAAAACAAAACATTAACACAAAATAATGACAAATAAAAATAGAAAAATAATCCGTTATTAAATGCCGATACAAGTTGATGAAGTAAAATAAAAATCCCGACCTTCGGTTGGTACCGCAGCACAATAACAACATTAAAATTAAATTTCCTGACTTTTAAAGTCTCAAACGAACAAATACTCTCAATGGGGCTTAAAAAACTCAAAAGATTAGCGTTTTCATATAAACATGTATCGTAACTGAACAATATTCAGTCGTCATAAGTTGCTATTTTGCCTAATTTAATTTACGAGGTGTATTCAAAAAGTAAGGCGACTTTTGTTATTGGGCGGGCTACGTACGTTCGATGTTCGATATTTTTTTTACATGGGTACATATGTCCCTAAGTTCACAGTTTCAGCCAATATGCACGTTTACTTTTTTTGAGACAGAACCGTTAGACGTGTTCTACGTGCTAATTGCATATAACAACAACGGCATATGGCGTATCTACTTTCAGCAAAAAAAAATGTGTACAAGCTGTTTCAAGATGGCCTGAGAAGAGGCCGATGACGAACTTCGCTCTAGACGCTCCACCACGTCAATAACTGATGAATGCGTTCAAGAACACACAGAGAGACAAAAGGAGTTGGAAAATCGTCGAATCACTATTAGAGAAATGGCTGAAGATGTTGGCGCCTTTACTGACTCGTGCCATGCAAATTTTGCCAAAGGTTTGAGGGCAAAAAGGTTATAGCTGGTGACGAATCATATGACCGAAAAAAGCAAGTTCGATGAAATGTTTTGCTTACTGTTTTCTTTGATTATCACGGCGTAGTACATCGAGAGTTCTTACCACAAGGTGGTACTAGCTTGAAAAAGTATCAAGTTAGGACACACCACAGTCATATGAAAAAACACGCTTCTGGCCCTTAAAATCTCTATTGCTGATTTCTGAAAGACTCGAGTTATATCAATAAAAAGATAATTGGAAATGTTGTGCCAGATTTAGAGCTGTTGTTTGTTTAATATTTCCTTCTTAATGATAATAACCAACAATCAATCTTGTAGGTGCGTGTCAAAATGTGGCCTGTATCTATATTTTCCTATAGAACTTTTTTGGGCCCCGCAAACTTATCGGCATTTAATTAAAAAATAAAGACACTCGCTACTTACCGCTGCTTAGCGACCTACGTTAATAGCACTTCAACACTAAAACGGCATTAAAAGACATGCAAACCAAGCGAAAAAAAAAAAAAAAAAAAAACAAATTAAAAACCTCCGTATAATTAAATTATTAGCTTTTAACTACATAAAATACATAGTAATATTAGAAAATATAAACAGGCTTTAAAATAGAAATTTATTTATGTATATACTTAGTAATACTTGAAACAACCTTTCTTTTTGCGCTACTATCGACCAAATATGTCTGAAATATGATTTTTTTCCGGCGAATTCGCCCAAATGAAGAAGCGGCTCGAACAATTTTACGTATTCAATCCACCAAAAAAAAGGAAAATTCTTCCGACAAAATTATTTTACAAAAAAAAAGAAAACGCGAATACGGAATGTACAATAAAAAAATTATACAAAAAAAAAAAACAAAACGACCGGAACAAAGCGTGGTGAGGGGCACGTGATTATTGAATTATAATTTTTTATTTTATTTTCGGGTCTCTACGAATGGCAGTGTTGATCGTTATTGCAACAAACGGTTTATATAAATATTCGTTCATAATTTCGGCTCCGCAATTTTGACAGTTGACAGCAACATACGGGGCGTCGAGAATCTCGTCGCAAAGAATGAAAAAAAAAAAGATAGAAAAAATAAGGAGCACCGAACTATATTTTCGCGATTCGGAATGAACGAAACGGAATGTCTGTCTGGGACAGGGGGGGGGGCGCCCCCGAAGCCACGCGCCGGCGCGGCGGTTTTGATATTATTCGTATTGCATCGTGTATAAAAAAAAACATTTATAATAATAATAATTAATAGTGGTGGTGGTGGGAGGGGTGTCCCCGCGTGGTTACTACATGTTTTGCATCTCATGCAGTGTCAGTTCCATTTCCGCCTCGAGTCTTTTGTTTTTCTCCTTTTCCACCAACAGGTCGTCTGCAATGGGGGGCAAAGGGGGTTAATATGCCACACACACACACGTTAAAAAAAAAACGAAAATAAAAATAATACGAAACGCTGCGTGGTTACTCTTGCGCAGGTTTCAAATGCATTTTTTGTTTTTGAGCGAAGGAGGGGGGCGGGGGGGTTATTGATACGCACCTTCGAGTCTGTCGACTTCCTTTTGTAGCTTTTGGACGGAACGCTCTGCGAATTCGGCGCGCGCCTCCGCCTGCGGGGTTGGGGTAGAAGAAATTTCGGTTAAAATTCGTTTTGTTCGGCCCTAGCGGGCCTACGCGTATAAAGGCGACAGCAGTGGAATAAGTTGGGAACCATTTTACAATAATCATTACTACTCCATTGCCAAAACGTTTGATTTATTATTAGATGCAGTACATTATCAGTCTAAATTACATTAGTCGACAACGAAATATTTTAAGACCAACAATCCTTGATTTTAGTATTTCCTTTGTAGCACATTTATTTCAAACTACAAACAATTTATACAAGATTTGTAGTGTGCAAAACCGGTTTTTCTGGAATTCACTCACTTGTCATATCTAAAATGTGTCCCAATTTTGAACTACCACTATCAACATGTATTTTCGTGCACTTTTAGAAGATTCCTTAAAAAAACTACGCGAATTTTATTATTAGTTCTTCCTATCTAATTCATGCAATAGGCAAATGATATAAAGGAAACGTCTGCTGGAAGTTTTCAGTTGTTTATTCTCGAAACGAGTAACAATAGATACACAGTACTCAGTATTTAAAATTTTAATGTCGATAGTAGCAATTTAAACTTGGGTCGCTGTGTAGACAAAACAAGTAAATACCGAAAAATCTACAACTTTTATGGCAATCAACGAATTAAATTATATAATTTGTTAGTCGACCGCTGATAATTTGATTTTGATTAACTTCGGTGTATTTATGCATCTAAATTCACAACTTTTATGTAATTCAACCGTAAAATGGTGCATAATGGTAAAGAAAATGGTAACTTAATGGAAAAAGAGACTGTTCAGCAAAATACGCTTTGTTCCGATTTTATTCAGATTGTCACATGAAGTCAGACCCAACTTATTCGACTGCTGTTTACTCAATTAAAATGGTGGGTTCAATATGGGCCGCGCCTTAAAAGCAAATTAGAAACAAACTCGACTATTGACAAAAAAAGGAAAAACATTTTATTCCAAAGCAAAATCGGACATCTGAATCAAGCAATATCAAAGTAAAAATTTGAAATGAATAAAAAATGGTTTGGTTTAGCGTGCGAAGGATCAAAACTGCGCTCCTTCACCTCTGACCATATTGTAACGCACCCTTTTAATTAAAAAAAAAACTTGAAACAGTATTTCCCACATTTCAACCCGCAACCATGCAAAATGATAAAATAAATAAAACACCAGTAAAGCGAAAAGGCATGCAAAAAAGAATACTAACGTGCTCAGCGAAATATACTTACAATCGATCCGTGCCGTGAAGTTAATAATATCTATCTACAATCGCTGCCTTCCTCTACGCTACATCAAGCACAATGTCTAACGCGGTAACGGCCCCTAACGTAAAAGGAGACCTGTTCCCACAGCCCGCGGCGTGATCAAGAAGAAGAAGCAATAAAACACGACGTAACTTGGACTGGCTTCGGTAATGGATCTTGACTTTGCGAGGTAAATTTTCTTTAGAATCAGACGGGTAAAGTATAAGATTGGTCACGAACTATCAATATGTTTGAACTTAGTGGTGGTGGTGATATATTTTTGAGTATTTTTGGTGGTAACAATCTTGTATGTAGAATAACAAATAATATAACAATTTTACATTTTAAAATGGTAAATTCTTATGGTTGCATTAATATATAACCCTAAACTTGCAATATATACGTTAAATGTTTAAATGTACACGTGCACTTGAAACATTGGAAGGCCTTTTTGAATACTCTTGAATGACATGAATACTGCTATTTCCTAACCTATACATTTTTTTTAAATGAAACTTTCCGAGTTTCTTATATCATTATATTGTTATTATTATTTTACCACCAAATAATAATAATAAAAATGATTTTTGTCAGAATACCTGGGTAAAGTGATAGTCCCCATTTCTAACCGTCTTTTGATATTGCAAAATTCGGCCCAGTTTCCTACCACGCCGTTGCCAGTCCATTTTAAAACGAGTTCACCGAGAGGAAGATCGAAAAGCTCGTGGAAGCGCATAACGTAATGGAATGAGTGTGTTGGCGTGCAAGTCGTAATTATTCCCGACCGCGATTTATGATTCCATTTCAACGTCTCAAGTTTCATTCTAAATATTTTCCGAGTTTCGAATCTGTTCGAAACATATACATTTTTTATTTCATGGGTTACCCAATGCTTTGGACGTGGCCATTAAACTAACCAAAACACGACTTTACCGTTGTCACTCGGTGTAATTCATAAAATATTTAAAATCAAACTGAGTATTCGTTCTTTGTTAATTTTGTTCGGTAGCTATTAATACCCGATCCCAAAATCTTTGTATAAGCCGTGACGTGTGTAAGACGCGAACCAAATGGGTTGTGTGTGTGTGAAGTTTTTGGCGCAGGCGCCGGACCCATTAAAAAAAAAAAAGTGTGTTCGTGTCGTGCTGACTTACTTCGCGCAATTTATCGGAAATAATGCGGATTTGATCTTCGCTGTGTTCTCTGGTCACTGCGGCCTGGCGACAGACAGAAAAAAAAAAACACAAAATGAGAATGTTACGACATGCGCGGTGAAGGGGGGAAGCGACGCGCACACACAGGGAACGACTTTTGTGCGCCTATATACACACGTAGACAAGAGAAATGAAGAAACTTCACCAAGACCTAAACGAAGACAGAGATGATATGACAACGGCCACCCCCCAGCGAAACGTCTACGATTCTGTACAGTGCCCACGCACAAATTACCTCTCTCAGTTGCTGCTCCACCTGTTTTAACGTTACCGAGTACTCCTCCTCTTTGAGCGTCGCCTGCGTTTAGAGTTAGTACCAAAAAAATCAATAACGACAAAACGTTCAAACACTCGCGGAACATATAGCCGCCCCGGGATTGCAAGGAAGCAACGAGAGAGTCCGGCACCTTTTTGCCGCTAGCGGTATTTTAACATTCCCTCGTAATTACGGGACGACTATAGTTTTTAGGCGACCGTCTGGAAGAAGTTAATATTATTGTTTTCGACACGAAAGAATGCGAAAGAGAAAAAACAAGAGTTAAAACGGGCCATTGGTAGCTGCTGGTTAACAATAAAAAAAAAAACGCAAAAACACTGCATCTGCGCGCGCGCGCGCCTTCCTGTACCTCTTTTAGGCGAGTGGTCAGGTTCTTGATTTGATTTTTGTACTCTTCCTCGCGCTGGTTGGCCTAACAAGTGCGTATCGTGATGAAAATTATATAAAAAATTGAATAAAAAACAAATGCCGCGTATCATGTATAAGGCGGCATCCCCCATTTTGGGCACTTTTATTTCGGTTATTTTTTGCACAGTTGCCCTTTAAGCGACACTGTGCTACTATTTTGTTAAATTAAAAATGCCGTCGAGAAAATTATCATGGCCCTCTTGTTTTTTGAGATACAGAGTGAAATCCAAAACGGACGATTTTGGACTACCCCCGTGAATCGCCGTTGTCTTTTAATTTATTGAATAGAATGAAAAACGTTCTTATATGATTTTTTCCGTTGAATTCAGCGGCGTAGTTTGTAGCAATCATATATATAATTGGAATTCGTTTAAGCTTTTCAAACATATATATGGATAGGTAATAAAAATATAATTAAAAGCTGACAGCCTCGTAAGTTTTTGACACATTTGCTTTTTTGGTTTTTAATAGATCTACCTAACATAATAACCTAATATTTATTATTTAAAAATATATATATTTTCATCTTGTTTTTTCGAAATTAAATAAAAACTATCTTATATAGTAATAACTGCTCACACGTATCTTATTTTTAGTTGATTTATTATAGCCTATTGCTACAAATAATATATAATAATATAAAAAATGATTTTTGACCTTAATTTTCAAAACAACTTTATACTAATACTTATTTTTGAAACGATGATTTCCAATTAACGTAAGTCAATAAGTCATAAGTTAACGGCGATACGGCGGGTGGGTCCCAAAATCGACAGTTTTGGACTTCACCCCGTATCTCAAAAACCAAGAGAGCCAATGATAACTTCTTCAATTTAACAAAAAAAAAAGCACAGTGTCGCGTTAACCGCGATTCTCTATTTGTAAAAATAACCGAGATAGCCTGTGTCTCTATTACGATACCCCGTGCGCGTTGAAAAAGACTAAGAAAAAGTATTACCTTTTCTTCGGACACTTCCAGCGATTTCAGGTTGTTGCCTACCACGCGGAGTTCCTCTTCAAGCTCGACGATTTTACTAGAAAAACGAGAAACGAAATTAGTACCGCGTAAATTTTTTTCAGGCAAAGAGCTTGAAATTAAAATCTATGACAATCCAATAGTTGCTGATGATAGCGGAAACGGTAAGTTCTACAAATTCATATTCTAAGCCCCACATGTATTTTGTTTCAATGAAAAGTCACATTTTTAAATATGATAGAAAAAAACAAATTACGAAAATTCGATGAACAAAAAATTTGGGGCGAATTTTTCCCACGCCTCCCCTGTGTTACAATAGTAAGTTTTAGTTAAATAGAGCCTAAAAAATTTAGTAACTGTATCAAAATCGCCATCACCTCGTCAAATTTAACATGTTAAAAATTGAGACGTTTTGGACCAAAGTTTATATAAACTTTTATCTTTATTTTGGGTCTCAGAATACGTGGTTAAAATATTGACGTCTAATTTCGGGACATCCTGCATATCTAGAGACTTTTAATTAGAAATCTTTCAAGTCAACATAATTTGCATGGCATTTACGGCTTCTAAATTTTCTATAGCTCTATGAGGCAAACAAAAGAAAGTGCGGGTCGCACCTTACATGGTTCTTGCAGTTTTCAAATTGCGATTTTCTGGTGGAAACTTTCAAGCTCTTCGCCGCGTATAAACAAGGTGAGGAAAACGTGAAATAAATTTAAAAAAAAAAAAGCGCGCAAAGCGTCAGCTACCCCACCTGTCGGACACGTCGGCACGCTCCTCGGCTTTCTCGAGGTCCTGCTCCATCATCACCAACTTCCTGGCCACCTGGCAACACAGCGAAATTCGTTCATGCGCACAAGCCAAAGTTAAAAACGGCAAAAAAAACGGATCAGATTAGAAAAAGGAAAAAAAAACAAAAGCTACGGTCGGCCGTTACGGTGTTACGCTAAAAGAAAAAACCCTCTCCTAGTTTGTCGGGCGTTGCCGCTTGTCTCCGGGCAAAACGCAAATAAAACGGAGTTAATGCCGTAAGACATGCCATCGAAAACCGATGAAAAATAGAAAACCTACGATTCGCCCGCTTCCGCGCGTTCCTCGGCTCTTTCCAGGTCGGCTTCCACCATCGCCAATTTACGGGCTACCTGCGTACAAAAACAAAAGAAAAACGTTTTCGGATTGAAACGGCGACAGGAAAACGTCAAAACGCAAGCGAGCTGTTATTGGGTTACACGCGAAACAACTCTGGATAAAACAAATATTTTTCGTATATTGTTATATATATAAATATCTGCGACGTTAAATCGTATATGCGTAACGGTGCAGAAATCTGGTTTTAATTCGATCTGTCCTACACAATAAAGGGTCTGCAAAAAAAAAAAAGTTAGCAACTGCGAATTTGGTTGCCTATCACGAAAAACAACATACCAACTACATACGTGTTCAAAGTAAAACTTAATTTTCGACAAATATAAATATACAGGGTGTTTTCAAATGAATTTCATTTTAAAAAGGAAACTTCATATGAACCTATGTCCTAAATGTCTTAACTTTTGAGATACAGCGTCGTAAAGTATTCAAAAATATATTTTTTCCTACTCCCCTCTGTAAAATGCCTAATCTAGCGTGCCCAAAGCGTCACTTTACCACGTCAGTTTCGATTCCCACAGATCCGAGCCATTTCCGGGATTTTACCGCACGGAACTGGGGGCAATGGAAAGTTTTCGTGTCGTTTTTCGAAAATGTACCCAAAAAATTAACGATCGTAGAAAAAGTATAACACGTTCGGTAAACTTTTTAAGTCACTCGTGAGTCAAATGCCGTTTACCGCACTTGTTGCATGATATACTATTAATTATTTGCATTATTGTGCACCATATTTTTTTAAAAAACACACCAGTGGCGGGCGGGCGCAATTTTCCCTGCGTATTTTGGCAGACACGCCACTGATTTAAAATAAAAATTATCCTTACAATTTCCAATCATTTTTAATTTTAATTTAATTAATTAATTTTATTCTCTGCATGCTGTTACGTCATATTAACTTTATGACTAAGCAGAGAAGAGGTTTTTATTTTTCAAACGGAAACTGGACATTGGATTCAATAAAGTCAAGAAAATAATTTTTATTTTAAGAAATATCAGTGGCTGGATATCAATGTCGCCCAAAATAGACATGTAAAATTGTGCCCGCCACTAGTCTATTTTAAGAAAATTGTAGTACACTGACTAACACCCCTTGATACGTACGTACATGTGCGGCAAATTTCACTAAAATATAAATATATATTCGGTTAATGTCGAGCTAGACTTCGCCATTTGGGATATATAACTGTATTAGTTTGTATTGTATTATTATTACAGATACTATATCTTAAAAGTTAACACGTTTTATTATATGTTCATATGAAGTTTTTTCTTTAAAAATTTCGCCCCCTTAATGATGGACATTCACTTAGAAAGCGCCCTGTATAATTGGAATGTTCGAAAACGAATTTCTCAAAACTAATGACTCTTCCTTGGTGTAAAGTCAAAACACTCGGTTAAAAAAAAACAATTCCCAAGTATGACAGCGCCCTCTACGAATTGTATTTGATATCTTTCTCCGTTTCAAAATGTCCATAATTTTTCGAAATAATTAAATTTTATTTTCGACCCCCTTACATCTAACATCTCATACAGCATTTTTTTTTATTCCGATGTACGCCATATAAAGAATTAATTGAACATGTTTTTTTATCATCAGTTAAGCAATTCCCAAAGTATCGCCAATGGTTTATTTTAAAAACTCCAAGCAGCTAACAAATTAATTTTTATAACTAAAACCCTTCGTATCAAAGTATATGCAAGCAAAAATCTTGACTTGTGCGTTTGTTCAAAAAACCAATTACTGCACCGGCCCCACCTACATATACAAACACACAAATAAGAAATAGTTCATGGAACATACTCATCGGATCTGTAGCCAAAAACGACGAAAATGGCGCCCCCAACGGTTTACATCCGCCGACGACCAAAGTTTATCGGAAAGTCAGTCCCCCACCGCACCACATGTCCATTTAAAATTAAAATTTCCACCCCGACAGACCACAGGATCGTTTCGTATAAATTAGCTGCCGCGTAATAAAAAAGATTGAGCCAACATCAAGTTACAATAAATAAATAATAGTTAAAATTTCAAACCGCGATTTTTTTTTTAAATTAAAACAGCGCCCCCCAGCGCCCCTTATATTTTGCGGCCAGCACCCGGGGGAGGGGACGCGCGTTGTAAAACCCACTCTATAATAGTAGCAATTTCTAATAACCTAAATAAAACTCTAACAATAAAAAAAGTCCTCCCAAGGACCATCGGATTAACGATTATTTACACCTCGATATATATTAAACGAATTGAAACGAATCCCACTGAGTTAGCACCGAATATTAAATATTGCACATCCGCGTAGCACTCGGAGACGCAAACAAAAAAAAAACACTAGAACTCAAATCCGACGATGGACGCGGCACACGGTATATTCCATGAATATTTCCCGGGAGAGGCACTTTTCTGACGGCGGAAAACACAACAGCGTGACATACAAGGAAGTTAAAAAAAACACTCAGGTATCGTTATTATTGACCTCGTCGTATTTTTTGTCGGCCTCTTCGGCTAGGAAACGGGCCTCCTTCAGTTGGTTCTCGAGTGCGTCCATGCGTTCTTCATCGGCCAGGGCACGGTTCTCGAGTATCTTGCGTTGCCTGCAAGTCGGGTGAACCAAACGGTTGCAACATTTTTAATAAGAAACGAACGAGGCCGATATCACATTACATCGCGCGCGCTCGCTCTCACCGGTTGCCCCGGCAACGGGGGCGTGGCCGTCTTAAGCGCGAAAACGCTGGTGGGGACATTCTAAACCGTCCCGCTACACTACTGGCGGTGAGAGCGAACGACGTAATTAATATATGGAACTGTCAAATGTCCTCTCCGTCTCGTGATGCGTACTATACCTAATAATTAAATAAATAAAAAAAACAAAACACAGAGCATAGCACAGCGGGGGGAGTTCTGAAATCAATGGACGAGATAAGATTACATTGGCGAAAGCGTGCTTTTCCGGTAGTTTTCTTGCCAAATTATCGGTAAATCGTTAATAAGTAATCTAAAAATCAATTTCAATTCAATAGGTAAAAATAATTGCAGCATTAACTCGACAAGTTACACATTAAGTAAACAAGTAATTCAGATCACTGCAAATCCTCATTAAATTTTAGGGTAAATTATGGTTAAAATCAGTTGGGAGGTTGCTGGGGTGGCAATTGGTAAATCATCAAGTCAAAACGAGAGTACTTGCTAATTAATTAAATATAGAAAAAATATTTTCAGCTTTACACTAAACGCAAATAACCCCCATAGTCGCCACGAATGCGTTTTATATACAGCGTTATTCACGATGAGTGTCCTATTAGACGTACATGGAGAATTTTCGTCTTTTATATGGGACGTCCTGTATATTACATTTTTAAATTCTGCGAATCGTTCCGGCACTTTTTTGTGTAACATGTACCATACCTATCTCGACCATTTTCGAAGATAATATGTATGATAATTAACTTATCGCGTAGAGGGCGTTCATAAGATAAGGCCCAATTGGTAAGTAATAAAAATCCATTTTTATATAGTGCATATGCATTCAAATGAGCAATTAATGAGCTATCTAAAAGTACCAAACTATGGTGTATCTATTTTCACTGGTTTTCAAGTTATAAGCACAAAAAAAATATGGCAATTAAAGCGAATTAAAGTAATCATATTTCGCTTGGGTAGCGGGCTTTGGTCAGCCGTGGTGACGTTTTTTGTAATCAAATTCCTCTTTGACATAAATAAGCTTAATATTCCGTTATTAGCGTGTTCAAACGAGTAATTGCAGTGAACAGTGAAACTGGAAGGAAATACATATGCCAACAAAACTTTAATATTCGCATAAACTGCTATACAGAAAAGTAATGTTAAAGGCTAATAAACGGTTTTAAATCGTTTTTAATTACATACAACTAGATATTATGGTTGAAATTACCTCTCTTTGCCCTAAGACATCCACGGATTGACTTCATAACATGGTTTCAAGATAGGCATCAACCGGTGTAATATCTACCGAACGCGGTTTGTGCAATGAGCCAGAGCTCCATCGAGTGTGTAACTACTATTCGTAAATTATCCAGATATTTTTCCTGGTTAAAATTCCCGTTGTAGATACAAAAATCAATTTTATTATCAATCATCGACGAAGCTAAATGTATTTTGAAATCGCTTTTCTCGTAAAATTTTACATTTTCTGATGATCAAAAATGATTATTTCTTGTGTCCCTCCCGTGAAAATTTTCACTCATCAGTATGAATAATTCTTTTCACAAAATCGCGATCTTGTATTCTATCCAATATCATCTCACAAAAGTCTACGCGTAATAGTGCGATGTTGAGGTTTTGGAAGTTCCCTCCTTCGTAGGCTTCAAATTAATTTGCTCATTTACGTGCCGCTGTAAAATATAGCGAGTTCTATTTAAAATCCCACGTAACACGGATTTTTATATTTTGCCAATGTACGCGATAAGTTAATTATCATACTATATCATGATTAAGCAATTTAATGGGAAGAAAATTCAAGTGTTCAGATTCAATGTTTAGACATGTTCGACAAAAAAGTTCGAGAATGTTTCTAAAATCTAAAAACGTAATAATATACAAGTCACTCTCCATAAACGTCTAATGGGACACTCGGGCCCCCACGTTCGGAAAAGCACCCGTTCGGGACCCAACACCGGCGAACCCTCCCTCGACGGTGAAGGGGAGGTTCGCTTTTTAGATAATTTCCTGTACCTCTTCGTATTTCTTGTCGGCCTCTTCGGCGATTTGTTTCGCTTGGGCCAGTTGTTGCTCCAGCGCGGCCACCCGGTCATCCTCCATGTTCGTCCGGTTCTCCAGGGCTTTGCGTATCCTAATATCGGGAGGGAAGCGGCGGGGGGAAAGGGTTTGGGGAGAAAAAAAAACGGGACAATGTTAGTTCGGGCCACGCGACAATAAAATTAAAAGCGGGCACACGCACACACGTACAGAACGCCGGGATGAGGAGGGGGCGGGGCGAACGCAAAAAGTGGTACGAATTATATTGTGCAAGTTCGGTGGTCGTTGAAAAACCAAAAAGTGATAGAAACAAATCATTAAGAAGGAATAATATTCATTTATGTAAATAAAAAAAAAGTGCCCGGCCCGAGATGTGATATTATTTATGGATTACGTAGCGGCAACGCCGCCGAATTGCACGTCGACGACAAATCCGCGTCGAACAAATAGCACAATACTTTCACTGTTTAGTTTATTATCTTGTTTATCGGCGAGAGGCGAACATATTTTTTCCATTAAGCCGCGCCCGCGAGAGCAAAAAAAAAACGCGTTTTGCGGTATTCCGCGGCGTCCAAAACAATATTGAAAAAAAAAAAAGATTCGTACCACCGTACGCGTCGTCATAAGAAAAACCATCGGATGTCGATCCTACCGCGACTGCGCCACGATATCCGAGGGCTTTTTTTGATAAAACCAGGGGCGTAGGGGGTGGCGACAAAAATAACAACGCGGGCGAACCTTTCGCTCTCGTCGGCGGCGGCGGAGGCCTCCGCCAGTTTGGCGGTGGCTGTGGCCAGACGCTCCTCCGACCTTTCCAGGTCCTCTTCCAGCAGTTGGATGCGACGGTTGAGGGCAGCGACCTCGGATTCAGCCTGGAAAAATAAAATAACAAAAGATTGAATTAACGATTCACGAAATAAACGACTTAAAATTGTCACAAAGTCACACCGAAATGGAACTGGATATATTTTCGCATCACCTCCCTCGGAGGTCGAAAAAATGAATACGCAAGGAAAATATAAATATTAGCGGGAAAGTTACCTTAACCTATATAGTTTTATCACCAACTAAACTCAACAGGAAGATTTTTTTAAAGCGACCTTAAAATAATAAAAACTGTACGTACTGGCACTAGTGTTGGGACAGTCAATTGACTACTTCTTAATTGACTGGTCAAATTTAAATGACAAATTATCATTATTTAAGAAGAATATGGATTTTATAATCGATTATTAGGCGTTTGTGATGTCCAATTTACCTATAACCCTATTCAAGGAATATCCGAACACGATACTTAGCGATTCGGGGAATCCCAAAAAAAATTTCTACTGCATCTAGTTTTATTTATTATAGTTTTTCAAACTATTTCTGTCAATTGACAAAGAAAAATTTAACCGGTCAATTCCACAACCCGAGGCCTAACCAAAATATTAATTTAGCAATATTTGCAATTTAATTAAAGATTTTGTTCTAGCAACATCAAATTAATTAATAATTTTAATCAAATTAATATTTGTCTTTTAAATTTTACCGATTTTTTTTTTGGAACGACACTGAGGTTTTGCTTTCACAAAGATTTCACAGAAGAACAATTTGAAAGCATTTCTAGTTATACCCAAAGTAAGTTAGAACTTTATTTTGCCATATTAAGTAATTTGCAATAATTTAAATATTGTGGTTTAATTACATATAGATATTATTTTTTAAAGTTTAATTTGATATTCATAAAATGATATTTAATTTTTATCTAATTAATTTTAATAAGTGCTCAATGATTTTACGAATTTAACAGGGAACACAAAGATTTCACAGTGCTAATACACCAGATTTCATGATTAATTTGCCTTGTCAATTCGAAAATATTGTCTCAAAAACTTTAAAAAAAGTCAAATTTCGATATTTTTTAGATGAATCTGTAATTTTTCCAACATATGTGACATATTAAAAGGGAAATGTAATTTTGAAGAAATTTCTCAAAGTGGCGAAATTTTATCATTAAGCATTTAAATTCGGAAGATTATTAAAAAATTCATACAGGGTTAAAAATTTTAAAAATTGACAAAATTTTGAGAAATTTGCAAAAATTGCGAAAAACACAACAGCGGAACGTTAAAAAAATGTATATCGGAATTTGGGGAAATATTTTTCAAAACAGTACTTCCAGCTCCAAATACAAAGCTAATAATATGTAAACGCGATACGATAACGAGGCGTATATATTGTACGAGTTGAATCGATTTTGCCACGCCTCCGTGATCACGCATCGTCCATTGATCGGTTTCCTGTGCGTTTCCCATCCTCATGGCGGATCGACAATGAAAAATAGAAAAAAATAAAATAGATTTTCCGCCCGAAATTCGATGTATACGGTGAAAATGAACGCAACGACCTCCGAAACGCCTTCTCAAGGTTGTAAACGCGAACCTCTAACCGCAGAAGTTCAATACACATCGGACTTGCCCACGACATTTTAACTAACCATCAGGTGTTAATTAAATACCTTTATACGCACCGCATGGATACCGTTTTACAATTCTCGATGAATTACGTCGAATTGTATACATAAGAGTAAATATTACCAGAGCATAAAAAAAATTGTTTGCTCGTGTATTTTTGCCGAGAATATCCCGAAAATGCCACCAAAAAAATCTTTCGGAGCACAAAACATTAGCAATTACGTTTAACGATCAGGTCTGGCTGGTTTTACAACCAAATTAATACTAAAAGTTTCCTCGATTTGAAAGAAGTTAAGTCCCGGAAAACATTAAAATATTATGACCCTTGATCTAAAGTACCAAAGAAACCAAAAGTAACAAGATTGCTTTCGAAAAATCGTCACTAGGCGGGGCAAGGGACGCATTGTTTTTCTCTCGTGCTTCTGGAACTTTCGCAAAATCGATGTAATTTAATTGTGCATGCACGCTGTATAAAATGTCCTTCACATCTCGTCGAACTTCAAAGCAAACATCGATAAATATTAAAATTTGCGTTGTTGAATGATTTTTTTCAAATATCTCGCGCCCCGTATAATTGACGAAACCTGAAAAAATTTTTGCTGTCTATGCGAGCTATATCGCAATATAAAAGAAAGTGAGATCTGAATCATAGTCTTTCAGTTATAACCAATTTTCAATAATAGGGAGACCCACTTTTCAGTTTTTTTGAATTTGCGGCGCACCCTGTATATTTTTGAAAAATTTTCAAGAATAAAAGTTTATGGAATCGTATCTTTTGCTTCTTCTATTGCTTCAAATTTCGGACACTTATCGTGTTTCATAACAAGATCCAAAAAACAGTCGAAAATCGCGAAAAAAATGTGGATACCGGCGTCGGATCAGGGTCATTTCTTGTAAGCTTATGTGTCTCGTGGATGGTTAAAAAACAGGCAAATTTCAATTTTGTAGCTCCAACGGTTTGAAAATTATTCGGGAAAAACCAAAAGACGAGAACGGAGAACGGACAGACACAGTTTTATACGAGCGCAGATACTTTCGAAAAATTCGATTTCAACGACTTTCGAAATTAACAAGTGGAAAATATTATTGACGATTCATTGGAGACACTTATTAATCTGATGAGCGTTCGACTTGGCCTCTTTTATTTAACGATTTAACAAATATGAACGCTTTATGAATATTTTAATAATATTCCAAATAAAATATATCCTGCTTAACGATGCCTTTGCATTTCAAAACATCCCGTTCCAACCCTCGATTTGGAGTACAATGTAATTATGACCCTGAAAACTGAACATCGAACAGGATTGGCCACGATGCAATTCCTACCTGTATTTCTGCATGTATTTTTATCAGAAAACAATTGCTGTTAAAATGCATTAATTTGTAAGTGCGATATATTTTTTTTTCATTATTTTTTAAATGTGTTTTTTTTAATAAACACGATTTTTCTGCTCTCTACTAATAAATACTCGTGCGCAACTTATTCAGCAGTGTCACTGACGTCTTAAAATAACCTTTTGCGCACGCTCGAGAACTGTATAATTGGATACTTAAGAATGGGGAGGAAAAAACAATTTTAGGACAATTCTCATTTTTTTTTGTGGTTTTGAACAAATTGAAATCACTAAATTCGGGATGAATTAGGTTTCTTTGAATTAAAGGCGGAAATAATACAGTACTCTGGCAAAAATTATAGAGTATAAAGTTATACAGAAGAATCTTTCATTTTGAAATAAAATGAATAAATAATAGAAACGATTACTAAAAAGAAGGTCGGTTTTTTCAAATTCATGTCTGTACATAACATGTTCATATATCAAACTATTTTTCTAGGTAAGTCTTCGTTCAACAAACAATAAATTTTCATTTTTGATTAATGGAAAATCGAATAACAAGCTTTTTTATCATCTTTGTAGTTTCATAGCCTAAAAAATATTTTTGTGGCGACAAAAGGAATTTCTCGTACATTCAAAAGTGTAACGTTGTCACTTTGGAGTCGAATTATTGTTTTATACAAAAAACAACCATTAACCACTCTCCACATAATTTTTTATTGGAATCAAAATAAGGATAACATTTTTGTGATCCCTTTCCTTTTTTCTTTTTTGGAATGGTTCCCGTACCACTCGGTTCCGAAGTAGTATATAACATCTCATAGATACGATAAAAAGAGACACTCAATGGTTTCAATTCTTGCATTTTTGATGGAGGTTAAACCTCAAAGTTTAAGAAAACAAGCGCTTTGCGCGCGTGCAATTCGGCAGAAATTGGGTTGAGTGTGATGTGCCGGGCTTTCTTGGTAAAAAGGCAAAGGATCAAATAGTTTACGCATAATTAACACGAAACTTAAACCCGATTTGTGGCTGGCGATAAGATATGATTTTCCTCGCTCTGAGCTAATTTCTATTAGTAAACGGTATCCGAGATAAGACAGAAAACGCGTCGATGCCCTAATATGGAAGAAAAATAAACAACCTGCGATTAGGCAACGTTGCAAAGCGTAAAAAAAGTTAGAAGCCGACCAAAGGCCGCCGATTCCTTATTTAAACAATAACCAGATGCTCCGCCGTAGAACGCTGACGGCGAATTGGCCAAGGACAATAAAAAAAAAACTATCTACCGAATTGGTATAGTTTGAACAACGCAACCCAAACGGGCGGCCGATACATACAGTCGGTCAAAAAAAGTCTCCCTAAACATAGTATTTTTTCAGTTTTCTTTTAGTTTCATATCGGCAATCTCATTAGTAATAAAAATAAAATAAAAATCATTTCACACGATAAAAAATAAGGCAGTTTTATAAGCAAGAAACTATGTCAAATAAGTCTCCGTACATTATTATTTCTCATGATAAATTGAAAAGTTTCTTAATGTCTAATATTCTGTACAATTGCCATATGGCATTAAGTCTTTTGGGAAGACTCAAAACAAGCTTTCTTGTAACTTTTTCAAAGCGCAATTGGAATTTCGCAATTTTTAGCGCCCATTTTGCTTTTACTTGAAAACCACTGACTTAAAACTGGCGTCAAAAATGAACAAGTAACTCATTTGTTTAAGCGAAATTTGATAAAATAATGATAATTAGCATAATAATAACATGGTTCCTTGCTTCTAAAACTGCCTTATTTTTAATCGATCAAATAAAGTGTCTCAAATGATTTTTATTTTATTTTTATTACTCTTAATGAGATTGCAGATACTTACTTTAAATATATTTCTTATTAAACGAAAGTGAAAGAAAAGAAAACCGATAAAATAGTATGTATAAAGAGACTTTTTTGACCGACTGTATATAATATATATATATATATATATATATATATATATATATATATATATATATATATATATATATATATATATATATAATTATTTGGGACCTTTGCCGCTCGCTTAAACGACTTTTTTCAAGGATTCCCCCGTTTTTTTGCAACACAGCAACGCCCAACTAATTCTGATGGAAATTAAACGAAATAGCTATATTTCTAATCAAAATGTTCAATAAACGTCGCCAAATTGTCAATAAATATCTATAAAATACGGAATGAAAACAACGTGACGGCAACCGGACGCCCACGCGGCTCAATTACATCGCCGTAGCATTTTTTTCCGTACTTATATAATTAGAAGGTCGCGGAGTAAGAATTTCGACAGCCACTCTTCAGCCGAACGATTACAAACGCGAATGGTATTTGTGAACGTCGGGCAATCTCGTATCATAACGGTCGAAATTTGCATAATGACGCCGCGGTTCGGGAAAATCGTTTAAGGAAAAACGAAAACGCGACACCGCCGCGGCTTACGAAAAACTGCACACGTGGAGAAAGGGCCCCTCGCTCGAACGCACAAGAGAAAAACCTGTTTCGCGGCGGCACCGCTTCGTATCAAAATTCAATAACAATTTAATCGTTTTAATTGATAACGGTGTGATATCGGGGACTATCCAAGGGCGACGATTTCGGGAGCCCGTGAAATTAACGTCATCACCGAATTTTATACGAAATCGATAGCGGCCATTCCGCCTTCGTTGGCTAACCATGCGATCGGTGGTCAAACTTTAAATCGCGAAATGACTCACGAGGCGACCAAAACTCACTTCTTCTCGCCGCATGATCTCCATTTGGAGTCTTTTATTGAACTCCTCGCACTCATCCTTGTACCGTTCCATTTCTTCCTTGGTCTGACGCATTTTCTTCTTCAGCACGTCCAACAATGACCCCTGCTGGATGTTCGTCGCCATTTTCGCGTTCGGAAAATCGAGGAAATAACACAACGGCACGAATCGATTCAGACAAAAACCCCGTGCGAACGAAAAACGCCACCGTACCTTATATCGCGGACGAATCGACTGGGCGAGTCAACCGGCTCCAACATGGCGGCGCGAGCGCGTGCGCACGATCACCACCTGCCGACGCGCGTTTGCCGCGTCTCGTTTGTTTTCTTCAACGTCGAGAGCATTTACGAATTTATGGTCGCGACCGCAAAAACAAAGTGCGACAGCGGATGTCGCTACGGGGCATATATTTTTCATCGAACGTCTATAACGAACTAGACGCGACTCTCGTTTCTGAATAAAAATTATTTCGCGAGGATTAATTTGCGGCGCTTCGTGTGGCAACGTGGCGGTCCGTGACGTCGACACGCGGGCGCGACCGCGCTTAAATTTGAAAAGCAGCAGGGCGAAGAGGAGGCACCGCGTAGATGACACAATCGGTGGAAATCCGGTGTGTATGTGTGACTTTACGTCGCGTATGCGTGCGTAATTTTCGTTGCATTGAAACCTCCGGTCGGAGACAATAAAGAAAAAAAACAAAAGAATGTTCACGCGTCATTTAACTCAATTCGGTGGTATTTTGCGGAACGCGGCGATGCCGGCTCTACTTATATCAGTAATTTACCCATAACCCAGTTTGAATCGGATTAACGTCACGAGCTGAATGTTTAAGTTAATATTTGAAATTGGATGAGTAACGATCTCCCGACTTATCGTGTGCGATATAAATGCGACTGTAGCGCAATCGGTGCGCGGAAAGTTAATAAAAATTGACGCTCGATTTCTTTTTCGCTACAAATATGGCAGAATCCGGTTTCGACGTTACGCGGCGTTTTTTTTATTTAGAATTAAAAAATCATTGAAACGAGAGTTTGTTTTTATTCAGAGTGTCGAAGTTCAATAAAAATCAGTATCAGATCGAGTCGAAGTGTTCACGCGGTCCAATTTCGATAAACAACTGGCAATTAAACAAAGAGAGCGCATATTGTAGCGGTCACGTGAGGTTAAAAGTTCCGCACGCAAAATTTTACCGTTCTATTTATAAGCTCGAAAAAATGCGGCCGAACCTAAAAACGTCGGTATAAGCCTGCGCGTAAAGTTTACAAGATTTTTGTTTGGTTTCGAGGCTAAAAATAGAGCGAGTTTAGACGCATTAATTCTCGAATAAACTGTGTATTGTCTTTACCACCTACCCTCTTCAGCTGTCCATTCATAATGTTATGGATCTCGTTTCTGATTATGTTGAACTTCATCAGGGTGTCTGAACTGAATATCGAACTGAACGCCAGACCCGGGTAATCGGCACAGCGTCTTCCTTTACGCCTGGTCTCTCTTTCAGCCACCACTTCGGTCCTTTCGGACGTACAGCGGAGCTTCGCCAACTCTTCGATCTCAGGATCCAGCGGATCCTCTTTTTCGACTTCCTGGTCGCTTTGGCTCGACCCCTCGGCAGCGGGTCGAAACACCAAAGACATATTTTCACCGTCGTCGACGACGACATCCTTCGTTTGCTCGTCCTGTTTTCGACTTTTCGGCTTTTTCGATTTTCTCAGTTTCTGATTGCGGTCGTTTTTAACGGGCTTTGATATCGGCTTGCTACTAACTAACTCTACGGGCTCGTCATCACACTGAGTAAGATCTATCACTTCAATATCACAATTCGACGCTTTGTTGTCGTTTGATTCTTGCGGAAAGGCACCTTGGTCGTTTACTACTGCTACTACTTCGCCGCTTGCCAAATTTTGCACCACCCCATCGACATCCTCTAACCTCTGGTCCCTGGCACTGATGCTGTTTGTTATTGTTTTCGAATTTGACAACACGTTCTCGCTACTGTACACGCTCAGCGGGGGATTCGGGCAAGGTTCTAAAATGGTCCTGCGTCTGGTGCCATCATTTCTGGGGTGGTGTTGGTGGCCCCTTTTTTTGGCACCCCCGGGGGGCCTCTTCGACGACATCGTCGTGCGCGGCGCGTTAACGCACGTACCTCTCTCTCGCCATCTTGGCTAGACTGGCGCTACTATCGCGCGGACGACTCGACAGTTACGACACGCGGCATTGCCAAAAGCACGTAATCTCATCCGCGATTTGCCGTCTTTCCCAGTCGTATGCAACCAACCTTGCGGCGGTGAACATCGTCCCGTGCAGGAAGTGCACTCAAGCCGGACCCGATAGAATAACGTAGTGACGCCACGCGCTCCGGTACCCCGGCCATATTTGGCAGCGTGCGGCGCTCCAAGGGGGTTATATTTAGAACGTAATTCGAGCGAGACGCGATGTTCGAATAGAACGAAAGTTATGTCACCGCGTTTCGGCCGAATCGACGGATGTTTAAAAAACTTACGTTCTGGAGGGCTTTTTCTTTCTCCTCCAGTTTGCCCAGGACCTGCGTGAGCTGTTCCTGCGTTTGGTCGAGCTCGTTCTCGACGGTCTGGATCTTCTTTTGAAGGGCGCGGGCTTCCTCCTCGGCCTGCGACGGAAACGCGCGGTTAAATCTATTGGAATCGCCGCGGTCCTTCGAGACGGATGCTTACCTTTTCGGCGCGCAAGTTGGCATCCTTGGCCTGTTGCTCGTTGTAAGCGGCCCGGTCCAACGCGTTGTCCTTCTCAAGCTTCATCGCTTGCATTTTCTTCTTGATCGCGTCCATTGCGGCGGTAGTTTCGGCGGTTTATACACTGCAACGGAAACAAAATGGGTTAAAGGAGTCCGGAATGTTGTAATAATTCGCGAATTAGGGTGGGACTCTTAAAAGTAGTTCCATGTATGTCGTTCGAGCGTCATTAAGGTCACAGTTTGTAGTAAACAGTGCAATTAAACGCATATATCGAATAATAATAAGCGCCTTAAAAATTGTCATTCGATTCGGCAAGAATTTTCAAGAACCAACCCAAAGTTTTGGTACTGTTAATCGCGTTTTGCACGACGGTATGCAATTTCACCGCATTAATGCGCATAAATATTATTTTGCTGGCTCGTGCGAGCGTCGGCCATATCCATAATTAACAGGAAAACTGAGGAGCGTGGCAGCGGCCGCGCACGCAAGAAAAAAATGGCATCGGTCGATTAATACTATACAGGGCGTTTGTAAAGGTGTTATTCCTGGACATAATTGCTTTGAAAAAAATATTTGTAAAGAAAATGAATTTTGGGTGCTCCGGAACATTTAATGGGGACGCTCGACGACGTGACTCACCCTGTAGACCATATTCGACGCACCAGTCGATGGAATTCGATCGTATCGTTCACGTTTTCCAGTGTGACGACTTTGTTTTTGTTCTGATGTTTATAAACATAGATCGTGATGACGATAAATGTTAAAACATTTTTGGTGTCGCCTAGTCAGCGGATATTTGGCTCGGTTCGGAGTGCATTTCGAGGTTGGTAAGAAAATTTAGGGCCGATTCATTTGAGTAAGTATGAAAAACAACAAAAGGATCCTTAAAATCGTTATATAATATAGAAAGCAAAATAGGAGGCAGAAAATATTTAGAGAAAAAGGACGATACGTAACGTATTTTGCATGTCGATTTTCTAAAAACAAAGAAACAAATTCTCTTAGTACCAGTAATAAAATTCCAAATCGTCATCAACTATGCACGTACATAAATCATGAAAAAATTTTTTTTCGTCTGTCGTATAAAATGCGGGGTGTCTAAAAAACTAAGCTTAAGCTCTTATCTTCAAATATACCTATTATGAGCAAACACCCGGTACTTTAAGATGTGCCCTTTTGGCGAAAAAATGGAAAATATTTATGAGGATAGCAAATTTAATATAAGTTTCTTTTTAAATTGAAAATGAAATAGACGCCATTTTTTAAAAACACCTAATCAGCTGTAATATACCGATCGACACCGCTGGATCGGTACAGATATAAGAGAAGAAGCAGAAAACTTACCGGAAACGAACGAAGACGAACAACTGCGTGTATTCTAAAGCACCGTACACTCGGTATACGCACGGTTTAGAAGCGACTGAACTGGCGAGGTGCTATCAGTTTACTTGGGACTCCTTACCGGGCAGAGGATACGTGGTGGCCCCTCCACGGGACCAAGAATAGACCGAGTCCGACTCAAGCGAACAAAGACACGATAAGATACCTCGGGATACGCGAGGTAACCAAAATGTTGATCGAAAATTTCACGGGAAATATATAGTAATATCTTCAACAACGAGCTATATAATAATAATAATCTCCATATTAATTAAAATAGTTGAAAACCTGGATAACCTGATGTCATGTTAGTTAAAGGGCCTTTTTATCCCTTAATGAATTGAACAAACATTACCGTGACATTTTCATTGATATTTACTTATAGTCTGTGACATTGTCCAAATAAAAACAATATAGTTCGATTGGCCCTTCGTTTAAAATTTCGTTTAACTTAACATATATTGTTAATTTATATTATTCACCATTTTCGCGTTGTCCGACAAATCATTTGCTTAGATTAATGTAATTGGTTAAGTGGGTCTCGAGGCAATCGAAGAAAAGCCTACATTGCTAGCGAATACACGATGAAAATTGTGGTTTTTTCGAAGTCAATGGAACAGTCGCGAGTACGGAATATAAAACCCGCGGGCCACATTAGAGATGCAAAAATATTCTGTAGAGTCCACTTTTTCCTTTACATCGCCCCATTTTTGAAAAGTTAACTCGGTTAACTTAACTCCAGGTAAGATTAAGTCGGTAGGACCTATATACATAAAAAATGAATGTTAGTCCTCAAAGTGTATCAATAAATTCGTTTATTAATAGAATTATATTAGAATAATCATTGATAATGAGATAAACTAATATTCTGAATTCCACAAAGAAAGTGTTGTCCAAAAATTTGAAAACAAAACATTGAAAAAGTTCTGTTTTGTTAAAGTTAAAAATATTATGTTGGAAGGACTGACTAGAGAGTGTTACGACCGTTTTTATTCTGTGCTCATGAAGTTCCGATTATTCCATTAAGAAGGATGACCTGCGGTAGAGGAGATGAATGTTATGTTTTGTTAAGTATTATGTCTGTCCGTAAATTAAAGTGATCAGTGATTATTTAATCCATCCGCCCACGGTCCCTACAATATATCTATAATAATAAAAAAATTCTTTGTGAGAACATAAATGAACGCCCAACACAACAAATGGGCAAATAAAAATCGGGACATCAATAGCAAAGTCTCCATTTTTCGCAAGCAATGTTATCAAATTTAACAAAAAAAACATTTAATGTGAGTATAACAAAAAAATGAAGTATTGTGCCATGGTTTGATATTGATATTGAAGGCAGTGAAAGTAAAATTAAAAATTTATTAAATGTAAGGGGAAAATGATGGGGGTAAGTGATACAAGTGATGTGAAAAACACATTATTAGTGTTTTCTGCTGGTTTGCTGATGTATTTATTATTACTGGGTCATCTTATGGTCAGTTTCAAAAGGGTTAAAAGTTTTCTTAAAAAATCGGTTTTTATTAGGGGAGGGTGGGGCAAAACGGCCCACTTAAGCTTTTGTTATTTTTTTGTGGCTTTTAACCATCAGTAACAATAAATTTGAGTTAATCTTTAACCAAGTTTACCCAAATTTTGGTGAAGCTTCTGGCCGTCGTGCCCCTATTTATAATGTTATATATAATAATTATAATTATTTATTAAAAGGTATTTAATTAAATAAAAACGTTACTACTATGGATTAAAAACTTTTTTTCTCGGGTATAATAATAGGAATAGCTTTTTTTAGAATTTTAAGGCTTTCCATTTTACCCCTGGTATTACGCATACGGCTAAAAATGTACAAATAATCAGAATTTACAATTATAATAACGAAAAAGAAATTTTGGTTAACTTCTGAAGTGGGCCTCCTTGCCCCACCTTGTCCTACCTTTATAATTGAAAATTGGTGTTAAATTTACAACTAATTAAATTTACGAATACAACACATTATGAAAAACGAAAAGCCGCTTTCACAGAATTTTTTAGAAAACCAGGTAACATTGTTGTGCTAAAAGTAGATGAGACTTTACTGCTCCCATCGTCATCGTCAAAATTTACTTTTTTTTACAATATAAAATTTAAAAGTGAATACAGCAAATTCCGAGATGTTCTTATCATAATTATCAAAACAGTCTAGACATTTTGCTTATACGCCGCAAGAGACGTTTTTTTATGTGAAATATATTTTTAATTATTTATCGGTGACGTTGCTGATAGAAAATATTCGCAACTCGTATTTGCTTTTACAATTAGGAATCCGTGGGGTCGGATCTTGACTTTAGCAATAAAATGGACACTTATACGGCGTCCATATTGCAATCCTTGTTAAGGTACATTCTAAGAAAGCGAAAGCGACATTGAACCATATTCGCGTGCGGCCCAGAAACCCGCATATTATCTCTTCATTGCCGCCGACGCAAATGCTCGAACCCGGGGGATTTCCGGGCCGGGACGATGCTCGAATATCCCGGGAACTTAACCGGGAACGAACGGGGATCGGAAAAAATCACACGGATCAAAATCCGGACGTTTCGTTGGCCGATACCCCGACAGGGTGTATCGTCAGCTGATCTCGGTTGGTTATTTATGGTACTCCGTTGGAAGGTAAACAGTCACCGGCAAGGTCGCTGCGATTCTGGTGCGTTTTCTAGTGGTACGACGTGGTGCCAAATGGAATGAGTCACGTGGATGTCAGATTTTCAACATCGGTGCTCGGGCGATAGGCGGAAACCCCGTAAAAAAATCGCGCTTTTGGTGGTGTTTTTGGTTGGTCTCAAGTGGTTTTTCAATTTCAGCGAACTCTGCAGACCAATTGTCGCGGTATTCTCTGGCTTTCACCAGGAAAAAAGAAATTTGAGTATATTTTTGTCGCCAATACTAGAAAACGAATTAATACAAATAATAAATTAGCTGAAGAATACGGATTCAAATGTTGGGGATATCGAACGCTCTATATTTGGTTAACCTGGTATTCTCCAAGGGAGTCTTCCCGGACATTTTTAAGGAATCCGTCAAATCAGGTTCGAGAGACCAAATGTCAAATTACAGCCCGATTGCAAAAGCTAGAGTCCTTGAAAAATGTATTGAAATTAGATTAAAACAACTTTTAGAAAAAATGCCTTAATCAACATTAAACAATTTGCTTTTAGGAAAAGGTATTATATCTGCAAGATAGAGTACATAATGTTAAACTAGGCGACACCTTGGGCTGCTCTCTTCCGGGAGGGTACGGTGTGCCGCAGGGCCCGGTTCTGGTGCCAATCTTGTTTAGGTTATATCGCACATCCCAAAGAAAACTGTATTAAGTGCCTAATTATAGGAGGAGCATTTAAAGAATTGATATAATACATTTTGCTCTTAGAGTTTATTATATTTATGATATTTGTTATATTGCTTTATTTTTGTTAACTATAATAAGTATTTACAAAAAATAAAATGATATTTCGGTCACGTTTTCAAAAACCCCAAAAAACTTTGATTTTGTTGATTTAATACAGTTTTCTCCAAAAAATATAATCTATTTTTTTCCGAATTGTCGATGAAAGGTGAATTAAAACAAACAAATGACTTAAAAAGGCATTAATCTCTAAGCATTATTAACATTTAGGTTAACACAATTTTAAAATTTAATTTAAAAGTCATAAAAACCATTAAAACAGAGGCTCATTAATCGGGCGTTTTGAATTATACGTTTTTTTAAGTTTCAGTTCTGCTGGCAAAGAAGATGCCGCAGATCTAGATTTTCTCGTAATTTTTTTGTTTTGACATTAACACACTTCGATTGTCTATCCGAATATGACTGTTACAATTTTAATCTGGGATAAGTAGACCTGTTCATTTTCAACATTTTTATTACCAATATCTGTTGTTAATTGTTTGACATCTATCAAGTCTTTGTGTGTTAATTCTTTTCTTTCTTCAAGTTTCGGAAGTTTTTGAGAACAGTTTTATAGAGAAGAAAAACCTCTTTTTCAATTGTTGAATGTGTGCTGTCTCCTTTATTTTGCGTGTGTCCGGCGATAAGGAATCTATGAGAAATGCTCTTTTATCTTGAGTACTTGTACATTATACATTAAAAGAGCAATCATGTATCTGAAACAAAATAAACACCGTCTAATGTTTATTTGTTCACAAAATTAAAAGTACTTATTTTTATTCTGAGCTCCGCAGTTATAACTATAAAAAGTAATTTTCAAGTCTTCGTTATTGACAGTATTTGTTCTAAGTACATAAAGATGCAAGACGTTACTTCAGTAGCACCAGGAGCAAGGAGGAACCTTTCTCCTTTAAGTTAAGAAAAATTTAACTTTTTTACTGCAATAATGTATTAAAAACTTATACTACCTTTTTCAAATTTAAAATTTCATATTATAAAAAAATTATTTGATAAAAAAAGGTATCAATCTAGGATAATACTACCCACACGCGAACATAATTGAAGAATAACGCATTATCCGCATATAATACACCTATCCATAAAAAAAAAAGAATTTTCTTACCTTGACAATTGACGGAAAAGCGTATCAAAGACAAATAATACGCTTTTCTTCGAAAAATTATAAGAAATTTATATCGCACAGTACACAATTTTAATACGTAATACACTTTTCTTCGGAAAATCAGATAATTATGCGTAGTACGCCGAAATAATACTGTTTTCAACGGGCGATCAACACAATTTTGACAATATTTTACCTAGCGCCATCTAGTGCATAAAATATTAAATGAGAGCTTTGTTGGCTTGTTAGGGTAAAGTAGAACCCTAAATAATGTTGTTTTTGACAAAACATGAAAAATTGTAATTTTTCTACTTAATACGGTTTTCTCCGGGATGTGCGATATATGTGATAAATTAGCTGGGAATGCACTTAAGTGGGTGATACATTTAATAAGAATGTGATTTAATTTAATTTGATAATTTTAATTTAATTTTTCAATTCGACTATTAATATGAACTTAGCCATAACTAGTAAGGTATGTCGCATTAGACTGAACAAATTTTTCAAATTCATTGTGCATTTGATATATATTTTTTTGAATGCTGAAATAAATGTTATTATCATTATTATTATATAATTATTCAGTCGATCAAAGTCTATTTCAAGTGATGTTTAAGTTAACCGAAGGCCATTTTTGGTGGCCAATTTTAGCTATTCTAAGTTCATTTATAGCGTTTTTTTTATTAGAACAGTTTCGATGCTGTTCAAGCGATTTAAGTAAACTTAAAATTAGTCCGTTTCTAGCAATATTTTTTAATTGCAGCAATTCCCACGACGTTCGAGCAATTTAAGCGAACTTAAATTTCCAAGTCGAATTTTAGTGATATGCTCCAATTTTAGAACAAAGCAAAAAAATCTCTCTTCGAAAAATGTTTTGAACCGCTGATTTACGGGTCCAACCCTACTGAGTCGTTTGTGGTGGGGAGCGCGGACAGGGGAATCGACGTCGACGTCCACCATCTCGACGACGCTCAGCGCCGCGACGCCTTGTAGCTTTTAGGACAGCGTCGATCTCTGAGCGTCGCCGGGAGAAAAGGTAGGTGACAGTGGTTTTTTTTACAATTCTCGCGAGTGAGGTTATGTGTGAGTGACAGGTGTGCCGCAGGTATGGAGCTCGGGGAGAGTATCGTAGGAAAACTTAAAAGGCACCAGATTCTAACCTAAAAGGGTTCGTTTGAATCGGAACGGGTTTCAAGTTTCGCGAGTTCTATCGCGCATGCGCGCGCCGCTATGCCGTCATACGGTGCCGCTTTTTGGATTGTCTAAAAATAGGCGCGGCAAATCACAACCGGAAAATTATAAATCGCGTAATTTGGATTGCATAACCCCCGTTCGAAGAGGGTCGGTTTTTAATTTTTTTTTTTTGCTAATTTTGCTTCATCCCAGCGAGAAAACGAATTTTGTTGTCGTTCACAATTGAGTTTTCCTATTTTAGGCTGCCGGGGACTATGTTTACCCAAAAATAAGCGTAAATATTCCCGAAATACCTCTGATTGCCCGCCCACGCACCCATATCGTTTGCCAAAACTTGGACGATCATGCGGATAGGCTATTTAAAATTTACGTGTTACAAAACAATTTTTAGTTTTTTTTTTGAACCACGCACTCCTAAAATTCCAAAAAAATATTCTCTTATCTCCGTTCACTAAATGAAATGGATGATTTGTATTATAATCCCAAATCCTAAAATGTACGATCATTACTTAGAGCTAATTTTAAGGAAATTTATAACTTATTTTTGCTGGTTTTTCATTTTTTATTTTTATTATAATTTTTTGTGTGATAAATGATATTTATATTTTGTCCGGGAATAAGCAGCAAAATACGTTATGAGAGAAAAAGACATTCTTACTCCTTAAATTCTAGAAAATTTTCAAAAAATTGTGAGATCAAATTTCCGATTAAATTAAACAATTATACAGGGTGGTCCTAGATAAATACAAGTATAAAAGTTCGTATAAATTTATCTACTAAAATGTTTCATTTCGGAGATTGTTGTCGGTGTTGAAATACTTATAATATACATTATAATAATTATAATGAAATTAATCAAATTAATTATTATTAAGTTACATATTATTATAACTTCTGGAATCGTTATGTAAATAGAAGCGAATTTAAATAGCGAAAATTATCTTAATTTAATTTGCAAACCTCAGATATTATGTGCACATGAAAATTTAAAAAAAATCTCGAAAACTGGTTAAGTAAAAACAAAAAAAAGATTTTTTTTTAAATAAAAGAAAACCATTTTTTTTTCGTAATATTTTAGCACTGTGTATAAGTTATTTAGTATTTTATTTATTACTTATTGTTTTCTGCTGAAGACGCTGTTGAAATTTCTCGGACCACTGGATGCTGGATATACAGGTGAACTAATGGCCATTAAAAAACTATTCTATGTTGTTTAATTGTACATAACGCATTAAGATTGATAAACGTCACTTTAGTCAGGAGAGGAGACAGCGAAGGCAGTATATTTTTGCAAAACAGCACGAATAAATGCCCTCAGTTGCGTGACCATCAAAAAATGACTAAAGTACTAGAAACGTGACTTAAAACGCGCACAAAGTCGTGACTAAAGTGTAGTTTATAAAACATATAAAAAATCGATTTAAAAAAGTCACATAGTTTCATAAAATCACGAAACGTATAGTGATGTGACGTTCTCGACGGTCCAATCTGCTTTCTACTTTTACTAAAAATGTGCGTATCTATTTATAAAATTGCACGCCTGGTGTCGATATAATTGAAAGTTGAAAACGACCGAATTTCCATTCGAGAAACCACCTCGTTAGAAAACGATGCATCAATCGAGTCAGTTTTTTCTTTTCAAATCCAGATTGTGATTCTATTAACGGAAACGTACGTATCGCGAATATGGCGGCAGACGTTTTCGTTAAAACAGCGCGGATTATCGCCTCCGAATATCTAAAAATATTTTTCATCTTGTCGCGGAGATATTAAGATTTGTTATAGTTATAAATACCCTTTGACGACCCAAATTCCCCATTCCGATACGTGTTGACTTTATTTTCGTAAAAAGACACACTCGACTTTGTCTCCGTTTCGGCGTTCGCCCTTAAACAACATTTTCTACAAAAACCTACCCAGAAAATGGCGTCCACGAATTCCCGACGTTATTTTTAACAACTAAAACAAACACCGGCGTCTACTGCATACGCCTAATGAAGACTGCTGTTTAATTAAGACGGTTCGATTATTTTTTTTAGTTTCTATGAGTTTATTATACAGAATGCTTCAACATCTCTCCGCCAATTTCTAGGATAAATAGAATAACAAAAATAACGTTAGTTACGACGGATGCGACTCTGTAAAAGCGGCCCTTCAAAAATCGTTTTCTGAAATTAATATTTCTGAAAGTGCTGACAAAATTTTTTGTTGTTTTTGATGTTTGCCGCATATGCATGGAATGCTGTAAACTAATGGCCACTAATGACAGATCCAAGATGGTGAGAGATTTTTGGACAAGTGGTAAATCTGGTTTTGATGTTATATTTCTTTAGCACTTGAAGGAAGAACAACAGTGACAAGTGTGGGATTGTTTTCGGACTCATCGCTATTGGAAGGTTGCGGTGAAGTGTATTTTGTAACGGAACACTCAATATCTTTAATGTGGAATTTATTAGAGAGAAGAATAGCGGTCAGGTGTTTTAATTCGGGGTTAAGTAACTCTGACTGAGGTAGTTTTACGGCTCTGTAACCGATGATTTTTGGGCCAGATGGTGATGCGGCTATGCATTATGGTATCCGTCTGTGTGCGTAGATTTTCTGTAAACACAATGACCCAATGTTACGTCTCATTTTCTATTGATAAGAATATCTAAGAATGGGAGGTTATTATGAGATTTAAATGTCCAAGAATCCCTAGTAGATTATGTTGCAAAAAAGCACGATCAAACGCAGAAGAGACGCTGCCAAAAAATAAGTTTACCTTAGTTATACAGAGCCACAACTAATGTTGATATTCTTATAGGTACCAGTCGTTTCAGTTTCCCGTAGGTCAGTAGCAACCAAACAGCCGCCGCCATGGACGCGATCAAGAAGAAAATGCAAGCGATGAAGCTTGAGAAGGACAACGCGCAGGACAAGGCCGACGCGATGGAGGGCCAGGCCAAGGACGCGAACGCGCGCGTTGACAAGCTCAACGAGGAGCTCCGCGAACTCCAAAAGAAACAAACCCAAGTGGAAGCCGACTTAGAAAACACCAAGAGCCACTTGGAACAAGCCAACAAGGATCTGGAAGAGAAGGACAAGGCCCTCATCGCCGTAAGTCGTTCAGTGACATTGACGTCGTATTTTTTTAACTCGCTGTCGTTATCCAGGCTGAATCGGATGTAGCCGCTCAGAACCGCAAGCTCCAGCTCATCGAGGAAGATCTGGAACGTTCGGAGGAACGTCTGGCCACAGCTACCACCAAACTGGCCGAAGCCTCGCAAGCAGCGGACGAAAGTGCACGGTAAGCATTTGTCCTGTCCTTTATGTCCTCGTGGGGAACTTATTCGCCTTTCCAGTATGTGCAAAGTGTTGGAGAATCGTGCTCAGCAAGACGAAGAGCGCATGGACCAACTGACCAATCAGCTGAAGGAAGCGAGACTGCTGGCCGAGGACGCCGACAACAAGTCCGACGAAGTTTCCCGCAAGCTGGCCTTCGTTGAAGACGAGCTCGAAGTCGCCGAGGACCGAGTGAAAGGTACCCGGCACCTCCGACCGCGATCATGGCTAATCGACTTATGTCGCAGGTGGCGACGCCAAGATCATGGAGCTTGAAGAGGAACTGAAGGTGGTGGGCAACTCGCTCAAGTCACTGGAGGTGTCCGAGGAAAAGGCCAATCAAAGGGTAGAGGAATTCAAGAAACAATTGAAATCCCTGACCGTGAAGCTGAAGGAGGCGGAAGCGAGGGCGGAGTTCGCGGAGAAGACGGTGAAGAAGTTGCAGAAGGAGGTGGACAGACTAGAAGGTAGGTGTTCGGACTTTGTGCTGGCTCGGCAGCAGCTTCGCTTGATCCGCCGCTTCGCGTTTTCCTCTTGCAGATTTTGTGCTCAGAGAAAAGAACAAGTACATGGGAATAGTAACGGAAATCGACAAGACGTTTGTCGAAATGTCCTCTCTGGGACAGAAGAAGTAACTCGGCCGCTTTTTTTCTCTATCTCGTTTTTTTTTGTTCGTTTAATATATACTTTGGTGGTAACGCGTGTACATATTTGCAGTAGTCTTAAGTTACGCTTATTTTTTAACGTATCGCCGCTTCCTTAACACCTATTGCGCTCCTCCTGGCTTATCTTGGTAAGTGGCATTATAGATATGTGACTCAAAACTAATCTGGCTTTCGTTTTGGTGTGCTATATATGTTCATATTTCTCTAATAGCGACTGTAGATTCGTTGTAGAGCATTTTACTAACTTATGGTGGAACTGCATGGATCCAAACTAGTGGTGATAAATTTTATGACCTCCATTTTCGTCTAGTTTTTATACGTCATTTCCTAGAACACTAATATTTTACGCCTTTAAGAAGGTAACTGGTATGTTAAACTCGATCAAACCTCCTCCCTCGCAAGTTGCAGATCTATATGGTTTAGTTTTTGGTGCGACAAGCAGGTTTTGATACTAGATTAAAAGAAATCGGCCGCGGACGCAATTTGATCGGTTTATTTGGTATTGTAGACGAACTTGGAATCAACAAGGACAGATACAAGTCGCTGGCCGACGAGATGGACTCCACCTTCGCCGAATTGGCCGGCTACTAAGCGGGGAACGGTCAGCTCGTACACGCCCAAACAAGTCCGTGCGAGCTTACTATATTTTTCGATGTACTTACTTTCATTTACGTTGTAAGAGTTTATTTAATGTATACATACTGGATAAAAGAATTTGTGTAAGACATTATGTGTTCCGACGGGGAATTTTGATTGACGATTGTTTTCACCAAATATAGTTGTTGAATTGACGTGTTCGTTTCTTACGGAGACTTGCGCGGAACGATTGCCCGTTTTGCTGTCACCTTGTTTTTTCTTCTTTGTAACTAGTCTACATTAATAGTATATTTAATAAAATTTACACGTTACGCACGCCTTTTAATGCGCCCATTGGGCACGCCGCTGAGTTCCGACATGCCTAGCTCGGCATAAGAGCAGATATGATATTTTTTGTTAAGGTGAGAGGTTCAACTTTATTCACGTACGGAATTTGTTAAACCATTACACACAGGGACGTGGAGATTGGAATAAAATTTAACCTCCAGGTATTGAGAATCTAGCCGGGAGAGAACCTATTAGAGCTGCAAAGAACTACCTAGAAAGACGTTTTATGCCTGTGAAGGGTACCTTAGCTGTGATTTTGGTTGTGTGTTATTTAAATATGTTTTATAATTTATACATAATAACCAACATCTTTATCCCTCCTTGTAAGTCAGTCATACTTAACAAAAGCAATTTTGTCGAAAATAAATATAAAATGTGTATTTTGGTGTTTTTTTTATAATGAAAATCATGTTAAACCTCTTCATAAAAAACGATATATGTAGTCCCTCTTCTAGTCGCTAGGTGGCACCACAGCTTTAAAGTAGACCCAAAAAACTGTGGAATAACTAACCCTGGGACCCTAGTTGAGTCCCTGACTTTAAAACAAGCTTACATTCTAATGACTTACCGTCGTTATATTAACTGTTAAACTAGTTTTGTTACTGCTGTTACTATTGCGCATAAATTCCATAGAGTCTTCTAGATTTAGCCAACATAAAATAATGAATCAAATTACATCCTTTAACATAGACCAGAGATGGCAAGTATACCATGTATGGTTAATTATTCCATAGTTTTTTGGCTCTGTGGTGCCAGCTAGCGACTAGAAGGGGGACTACGTATATCGACTTATACGAAGAGGTGTAACATATAATTACGACCGAATTTCACTTACCTGGTAAGTTCGTTTAATCATCGAATAAATGAAACTAAACTATAATAAGGATGTCACTCGCCAGAAAACAAATAGATACTACCGCTGGTGGTGACTAAATGTTATTTATAAAACTTATGACTTAATAGAATATTTTTTCCTTTTTCACACCCTAGGAAGGGGCGCGCTTAACTTAAGATTCTCCAGAGGCGTGAGGTCAGAATCTTCGTCGCGGCCGCCTCTGTCCTGCCACTTGGTACCCCACGCGTCGTGACGTCGTCAGGCGCCGCGACGCCTGCGCCGACCCCAATTATTGATCATCCCTTTACCGTCAATGACCAACGTCGAGGATTTTCATCAGAACGAAAGGGCAGCTGTCGCCATAACTTTCTTTCGTTGTCCAAAAGGGCCGTCGTAGGCGGTTTAATTGTGCGGGAAAGGGTGCAACGTTTCGCGCGGACAGTAGTCGGCATTAGCGGCGTTAGTTTAACTTCGAATTACAGCAGCCATGGGAGAGGAGGGACCCCAAATCTTACCAGTGCACGGGGGTGAGTTAGAACGCATCGCATACAGCGAATTGGGATTTCCAAGCGTCGGTTCGAGTGATTCGTCAAATGGCGCCATGTTTGGTGCTCTATTATCGTATAGTTTGTTTTTGATAGCACAGCAATATAGCTCGATGCGGGCGAGGGGGGAGTAAAATATGCATAAAATGTAGCGCGTCCGCCAAAATACGTTTTGCCGCCATAAACAAAGGTCGGCCGCCATGTTACCGTCGCCTATTCGAAAAACGACCCTTTGTTGTTGTGTTGTCCGCCTTTGAATAAAATATTCAACCGATCAAAGTTAAATAAATAAGGCTGCGTGATAAATCAATAAATCTCCACAAAATGGTGAGAGCGCCGGGTTGGCACGATTTTTTTGATTTTCAATTTAACTCGTATTATTACGATTTTAGTACTATAATATACTATAATATACTAAATTATACTATAATATACTATAATATATTATAATATACTATAATATACCTCGTTTCTTAGCCCCAAGTGAGACGTGCGAACTTGCAAAATGATTTTGAAAATGGTTAAGTTGGGAAATAGTAATTTTGAGTGTGGCTCTGATCAAAGAGTATAAGATAGAGGAGAAGGCTCACATTAGTGACAGAAACAGAAAACGCGCGGGACGTACGGTTCAATTCAATTTTAAGGTTGAAAGGTAAAATATGAAAAAAAAATTATGTCTAAATAGTTTCAGAATTATTTTTATTAAAATATAAATAAAGTGCTGTTATCTGTTACAAACTACTGCAGTATTTTCAGTGTGACGCATTACTTTAAAACTGTGGTACTTGGCACAAATATTAGATGGCATTCGTAACAGTATACGCGACCTTTCCCTCTATCTTATAATCTTTGACTCTGATGCGGTACTCTCTAGATTACCCTCTCAGTCGTGGTGACCTATGGTGATGTTTTGAGCTCCGTATGAAATGTAGACTAACTTTTTAGTAGTTTTCTTTCTCCACCGTTGCGATTTTCGAATGGAAATCATTCAAAATCAATATTATAGTCGAAATTACCTTCAACTAACTTCATCTTTAAGAGTCATAAGAGCTCACCCCTACCTAGGGCACCAGAAGATTCAATAAAATGCCACCCACCCCTTCGATAAGATCCCATCACAACTTTTTTTGTCACCCCGATGCCTCATAAACGTGCAACCGCATCGATTCGAATGTATTATAGGGGAAAGTTTTGGCTTACATACCCGAAAGACATTTCGCTTAACTTCCCGTTACTTTTTCAGTCACATATTCGACGCTGATCGCGTTCTGCATCGGCGGCACTTTATTCGGCGTCCTCATAGTCGTCATCACCTGGTTCTGCTACCAGCGGCGTAAACGTCTCCAAGCCAAACGCAATGGACCTGACCAGCCACTGGCCTTTCATTCGCATCGTAGGCCTACCGCCGTGAAAAGTCCGGCCGGAAGCGGTACCCACTACCTCAAGAAAAGTCCTAGTCCTACCGGACCCTCCAAGACCCCACCAGGAGTAAGTCGATGGGCGTACCGTCGCCACTTTTAATTACACTTTACTTTGTAGATGTCCTCGCCGCACACACCTAGTCCCACAGGAAGCGTGATGGGACCATTGGAGAGCGGCGTGTCCAGCGGTACCCAAAACGAACCGAAGAATGGCAACCAGGTAAGAACGCTACAGCCTAAATTTAAAAGTTGTCTGGAAGTAGCTTTGAGGATCGATTTCGATGACGCAGGTGGTGAAAGATGTCTACGCGACCGAAAACGAAATCCGGCACACGCCGACCAAGGAAGAAATGGAAACCAACGAGAAAAACTTACAACAGAACGCTTCTTATCTGGGTCAATTGGTCTTCAAACTGAGGTAAGCTCAGAAGTAAAGAACCACAAGGGTTCAGGATAAGGGAAGAGTTCTTATATCCCCACTCGGTCGTGGTGATCTATGGTGATGACTTGAGCTCCATATGAAGTGTTGGCTACATTTGGCGTTCATCTCATGACACTTATCAGTAGTTTTCTTTCTCCGCCGTTGCGATTTTCGAATGGCAATCAATCAAAATCAATACTATAGTCGAAATTAATTTCAACTAACTTCATCTTAAAGGATGCTTTCGATGACGAATAACTTGCAGATATAAGCACGACAAGAACGCCCTGATCGTCTCCGTGGTACGATGCAAAGACCTGCCGGCCAAGGATCCTAACGTGGGATCGAGCGATCCCTACGTCAAGCTGCAACTCCTGCCAGACAAGCAACACAAGGTGAGTGCTAACCTCCAGACGGCGACGACATCCAAATTTTTTCTACGCGTGGCAGGTCAAAACCAGAGTGCTGCGAAAAACCCGCAACCCGGTCTACGACGAAGACTTCACCTTCTACGGCATAGGCTTCAATCAGCTGCCCAACATTACGCTGCACTTTGTCGTGTTGAGTTTCGACCGATACAGCCGCGACGACATCATCGGCGAGGTGTTTTGCGGCCTGAACGCCATCGATGTTTCGCAGATCGAGACTCAGCAGATGGCTCTATGTCGGGAAATACAGCCCAGAAGTTTAAAGGTAACTTAGTACCACCGACCAATGGTTCGGTTCTCAAACGGACGCCTCCAGATCCGATCCCAAGGCCGAGGCGAACTCCTGGTGTCCCTCTGCTGGCAACCGGCGGCCAATCGTCTGACGGTAGTAGTGCTGAAAGCGCGCAACTTGCCCAAGATGGACGTCACCGGCTTGGCCGATCCCTACGTCAAGATTTACCTCCTGTTCAACGGGCAGCGCATCGCCAAGAAGAAGACCCACGTAAAGAAAAGGACCCTGAGCCCGGTGTTCAACGAGAGTTTCGTTTTCGACATACCCACCAACGGTGAAGGTCTCGACGCGGTCAGCCTCGAGTTTTTGCTCTTGGACTGGGACAGGGTGACCAAAAACGAAGTGAGGATGTTGTTCGGGATGTCGTCGGTGCCACGGTTGACGGTTGAATGTTGCAGGTGATCGGCCGACTGGAGCTAGGCGGACAAAAGTGCGCGGGATCGGCACTCCATCACTGGAACGAGGTGTGCAACTCGCCGAGGAGGCAGATAGCGGATTGGCATAAGCTGAGGGAGTGAGCGAGGCGACTTTAGCTTACCTATTTTAATTAAGCAAAATGCTATTTTTGTTCAACAATATATTAAGTATTTTCGAAAATATACATGTTAGGAAAGTGAACGTGAGACGCGAGCCCTTTCTCGGTGACCTTCGAGTGACCTCCACGCAGCTGGCGAGAGCTCTAAAGGTCGACGAAGAAACGGGACGTTCCACGTGCAATAAGCTTAAGATTTCCTCTTAGTTTGTTTCTACGGTAAAGACGGAGAACCAAACCGCGAGCTTTTGCTGTCCTGTTTTAGCGTATTGTGGTTATTATATTTGCGCATTTATTCACAAAGTCGATAAAAAAAAAAGGAAACGAATATCGGTCAGGGTTCGCGCCTAGCGCGTAGATAAAAAAAAAGATGAGCGGAGCGTGTGCGCACGCTCCGCCCAATAGCTTCGTTGTGATATAGAGTTAAGCGGTGAAGAGAACACGTACCAATATATAATCGAGTTTTTTGGCGTGGCGCATTTACATATTTGACGTGTAAATAATTTTGAAGTAAAAAAAATATTGACGAAGTATTTTTTAGGATTTCTGAATTTAGGGAATTCGGAGCGGAGCAAAAAAAAGAGATTTTTTGGCCAAAGCTTTCGGTTTTTTTAGATTTCACTATCTAACGTACAACGACGAGCTGGACATAACCAATAAATTAAATAACGCACACACATATCCCCCCCTCATCGCACCCACCCAACACACATCAACACCCGAACATGGATCTCGTTAACACCATGATGTTATTTTGGTTTGCGTTTTTCGCGCAAGCGATTTAATTTTTCGAAAACGTTTCATTAGACCGTAGGGACTAAGCTTATTATGATCGTATTATAAATAAACTTTGCGGATGCGGCGGTATGTACTTAAGTAACTTTTAGTGTAAACATTGTAGAACTAGACCGATGCGTAACATAATAGTACACGTATATATGCAAGTATTCGAACATCCTTTTGCGTATAGATTTTACCTAAATAGATTAAAACTGTCTACTTTCCGTTGTATAAAAATAAGACACACACATACACCACACACACCTTGCTGTTGATTTGTGTTATATTTATTACATGAATGTATATATATATATATATAATATACTTTCGAGGAAAATAAATGTTTCATGGTTTTTAGTTAGAAGTTTACATTTTCGATTAAAAGAGTTCGCTAAATAACAACGATCCCCTTTACAAAAAAAAAATTGCCTAAGGTTTTTCAGAACTGACATTTCAATGGAAATTGGTAGAAAGAATGCAGTGACGTAAGAACTGACACACATTAAAATACCATCCGTGGCTAAAATCTACTGAAAACATCAGATTGGTTGCAGACCCGTGATTAAATTATACTAGGCGGCTCGCAGTGCCTCACAATATTTAATGGAACTGAGGTGACACAAAGTGACACTTTGCGCACATCTGATTATTTTAGACTATTTGGATCATTGACATCGGAATATTTCTTTATATTATGCTGAAATATACCATAATAACATAAAAAAAATGTTGAGTCCGTAAACTTCCCTAAATAGAATCGACATATCGACAATATGCCACAATGTTAAGTCGTCTGTATATCCGCTTAGAAAAATTGTAGAACATTCTCCAAGTTTTGAGGTTATATTAGAGAGGATGTAAGTTTTAAAAGATCGTTAAAAGTTAGTTATACATCTGAGGTATTTTGCAAAACTAAAAAAATATGTAGGTAGGACACTGTGTACTAAGCAAAGTTTTGAGCATTTATATGTTTTTTTATTTAAACATTTTAACAGCTAATACTCAGCGACGACTAAAAAAACAAAAGTTTCTTATTTCAATGGGCGTCGGGCGTCTCTAAAAACATTCAATTTACTTTGGTAATCTTAAGCGATCGATCCGTTCCAATTTATGTGTTTAAATTAAAACTTACGTAAAATTAAAAATTACTGTGTCCTTAAAAATGGACTTTACCAATGAAGAGAAACGAAACCTTTATTATAAAAACGATGAACATGTATCCTGAAAGACAACAACCTCATCGAACTGTGTTTAAATTATTGGATAGAAATCTCGTTGAGTTTGCTTTGATTGAAAAACTAAGATAAAATTATGAATGTACAATTTTAAAAAAGCTATATATAACAATAATAATGGCGATACGTAAAGATAATAAATAAATTACAAAAGATGCTCTAGCATTTGCTGTAGCATTTCTCTTTGTATTATTTGAAACCGCTTATTTTAGGAGTCTCCAAGCATTCGTATGAGAAGAAGCACCTAGATCAGGATAAACTTGGCGTGTGGATTTTCCGGGTGTTATTTAGTTTCCTCATTCATTTTGTCTCCATAGTTTTTCAAACGAAGCAAACTCAGAGAGATTTCTATCCGATAATTTAAACAAAGTACGATGAGGTTGTCGTCTTTCAGGATACATGTTCAAATACATTTCAGATAACAAACCTTTACCATATCTCGTTTTCCTTTATTGGAAAAGTCCCTTTTTAAGAACACAGTAATGCACTACATATTAAAATGTCATCGACAAATTTGAAAGTTCACAGCTTACTATGGTATAAAAGTTTTTGTTCAATATTTCGAATTTGAGGAGACATAAATACAACTTGTGATACATTAATCAATCAAAAGAAGTTGATGATGGTTTGAGAAACGTCGCGAGGGATTTTTGATCAGGCCATATGATAAAGATTTAAAATAAATTGATGGGGTCTAAATAATTATATTTATTTATTATTTTTTTATTTATTCATATCAATTTATATTAATAAATTTTATAAGATATGTCCGGAAATGATGAGCAAAACGTTTAAGCACTGATTCTACTCTGGAAAAATTAATATTATACTATAGCATTTCTTGAAAAACTCAAAAACAACGGAATTAAAGGTCGTTAACAATTTTTTATTCATGAATTTTCCCGAATAACTTTTTTGTTCTAATTTCCCGAATAACCTTAAATTTGGCAAGTTATTACTGTTGTTATTTTGCATTCTTAGACCAAATATGACGTAAAACCCTTTTTTCCCAAGGGGCCTTAGCTATCCACGAACTTTTTTGCCAAAACTTTTTACAAACTTTAAAAAGTCTAGGATGAAAAACCATTATAAAAATTAATTATTTCTTTGCATTACATTTTAATTCTGTTTGCTTTCTTCAAACAAATTTAATAGTAGATTTTGACAGTATTTTGAACAACTTAATTATGGAATTTAAAACTGCTGACTATTATCAAAATTTAAACAATTTCGTACAATAAGTGTTCAGAATGATTTTTCTCTAAATCACAGCATGGGTTTATTCTCGATAAGTTCCAAGGGATTTTTCTAAATTTGGTGCCTGGAAAATTTTCTCTAATAATGGCTGACATATAGGCTTCTTTTTTTACCAAAATCTACAGATCTTTATTTTTAAAATGTCTCTTAACTAAAAAACGTTTTTTTTTATTCACACCCAAAATTAGCAAATTCCATCCGACAGCGCGATGGCGCGTCAATTTCTTCAAAAGCGCGAATGAAAAAAAAAAGAACGCCGCAACGATCTTCGTCCGTGTTCGGCGCGAGGCCGCGTTGCCGCGCCTCGCCGTTTTTCCCTAAACCCAGGGAAAACGAAACCAAAGGATGCGCACCCGGGCCCGACCTTGCCCACGTCGCGTATCGCAGGCCAGAGTTCACACCGAATACACACCGACCGATCAAGCTTGATGGCGTTTCCACGTCGATCGGAAAATTTCTCCCAATCCTTATCTAATACCGCGCTCGACTGTTATCGGTCGCGATTAACACCCATCGCGAGACGCCGTTATCGCGGTTTAGTAAATGTCGAACGGGTCGCGATAGAAATTCGTGTACCGTGTACTCATCGTCGGGAAATTCGCGCCGTACGAACTGGTTCGACGTTTCCGCGAAAACGATCAGTTCTTCAAAACGCGACTAGTCGTTATATGAAGGCGGTCGCGAAAACTTTCGCCATTCAAAGACGTAAACGAAAAGTTTATGTCGATAAACGTTTGATCCCGACGCGAGATAGTGCAAACGAAAATACAAGATACAACGCGAGATGAAGTAGAGAGCGTTTATCGCCTTGGCCTGCTGCGTAGACACCTGGCGAACATTATGGAGGAGATCGCGAATACTGAAGTCAGTCGCGTTAATGATGAAGGCACGGACATCCCTTCGGAGGAGAACAAAGAGCGCGAACCTCAGATGAATATCGATTCAAAACAGAGCATGGTTACGATAACTTTTGGAAAACGCGTCGAGGAAGCGACTCTACCGCCCGAAGAAGAACCGCCGGAGGTAGGAGAGGTTGAACCGGTATCGGAGGACCGCGAACAAGATGACAAATGCGAATACAAACACAAAACTGAGGTATATATCAAACTAAGCGACGCGGAACAAAGCGTAACGCAACCAAAAAGCGAGGAAGAAACACAACCCGTTGCGTCGCCAGACGAAGAAGACGACTGGAAGAGGTCCAAAGGCTTAAACTTGAGGTCGATGTTGAAGAGCAGCTTCAGAAGGGAACGGCCGACGACGCCGACCAGCCCGACGGCGGTGCTCGACGAGGAGTACCAAGACGACGACGTCGAGCTGAGAAGATCGAAATTTTCCAATTTTAAGCACGCGTTGAGGAACAGCTTCAAGCTGCGCGCCGACGAGAGGCTGTCGACCGAATTCAGAAAGGAAGAACCCGGAAAGCGATCTGAAGAAGACGAAGAAACGAAAATTGCGGCGACGTGTTCGGAGACGGAGGAAGAGGCGGAACTTAGGAGAGCGAAGCGTGTCAATTTGAAGCTGGTGCTGGCCAAAGGGTTCAACAAACGTCTCTGGAAGGGCACGACGAAGAAGAGCAGACTCGACGGCGAATGTGATCTGATAGGTGAGCCCGTTGCGTCGTGTTTCGTATAAAATATTGCGCGGGTTGTTTCGTAACTTTGTTCCGTTTCCTTAGAGAGGGAGTCCCCCATTAGGCGGTTTAGGGAGATCTCTGAGAACCTCATACAGTACCAATCGTTCGCTGGACTATTAATGTAAGTAATTTCTTTTTTTTATTGCGCCTCTTCTGCGAGGGTCTTCATATTCTCACACTATGAAACGCAATATATTACGGATATAGATATTTTCGCCATGTCGGGCATTATTTTCTTAAGTTAGCAAATATATTTAACGCCAAGTGGTTAGGCCACCCGTTCCACATCTATTTCTGTGTTTCACCGAGTGCTGCCGATTGATCTCAGTCGTCGTGATCATGCGGGGCAGACGAGACGAAGAGACATGTGTCGAAATCGAAGAGCGTATTATTTTTGTGGTCTGTTTCTTTTGTAATTAAAAAGTAAAATAAATGAGTGTGAACAACATACAGTCCATTTCATCAGTGAGGAGGCCATAAGCTCGACACAACCGTTATATAAACCCAACAGTTACAATATATTACAAGATGTATTTAACCATTGACAGCATCTCGCCGCATTCCCGTCATCCCTCGCCAAACCTCTCTAATCGTTTCATTCCACGATCTACGTGTTCTCCAGTGAAATATTCTTTTGGGCCATCTCTCTTTAGGCATTCTTAATAATTGTCCAAACCATTTCAAGGTTCGTCTTCTTTTATTTTCTCATTGGTTTCTCTTTCTAATTGTAATATTCTTGCGCATCGTCTTCTTTGCTTTCTCCGTTCGTTTTTTGTTTTTATTTGAGATATTTTTATCCCATCGGAATGAGTTAAGGCTTCCTACGATTTCCTACGAAAGTGGTAAATGCCTACATCATCATTAACTTGAAATCGAGCATCGCTGTTTGCTACCAAGTATTCTGTTTTCTCAAAACCCCTGTCGTAGGTCATACGCGACCTGGGCCGTCACAACCTGATCGTCAGCGAAAAATAATATGAATAGTATCGTTATCATCTATCGAGATTCCTATGCCGCTACATCGTGTCTTCCAAACATTAAGCACAGCTGTCCCGTCCCTGTCTAAATCCCTTGGTTGTGAAAGTGTCTGTCCATTTTTAATCTGTACTTTGTTGTCGCCATGCATCTGGAACAGGCGATTATCTATGCTTAAGTCTTTTAAAGTTTCCCACAGCTGTTGTACAATAAATATGTTGTCTGTACAGGATCGGTTTGGTGTAAATCCACTTTGATTTTAGCCGATACTGTGACCGATGTTTTGCCTTATTTTATCATTATCTACAACTTACATACCAGGCCCCTCTGATTTCAGCAATTCAACGGGGATGTTTCGAGGGTCAGGAGATCGGCCATTCTTTATGCTGGATAGCGCTCTTCCAAATTCCTCAGATGTTATAGTCAGACTTTTATTAATTTCCTCGTTATTTAATAGTGGCTCTACCGCTGTAAATTCTGGTCTGGTTTCGCCTAAGAGATACGTATAATGTTGTCGCCGTTCTGGAATAGGAATTAACGTGTTGATTCCTTTTCCAGAAGTTATTATTATATATACCTCTCTATTTTTGGTTTGCTGTTCTTCTTTATGTCATCTTTTATTTTTTCGTTTATCTCTTCAGTCATCCACGGAGCTTCTGATTTTTTCCCGCGCAAATATTTAAAGAAACATTTAGTAAATAATTAAAGTTTATAGGCTAGTAAGCCAAGGCAACTAATTTGAGTAAGTACATCTATAAAAAAAAAAGTGTACTGAATTTGGTCCATAAAGTCTAGTAAAAATGTTCCTTTTAAAATGCTCGTTTCATCTGGCGTCAAAACAACAAAGAAATATCAAAATATTTAAAAATATAGTTGGCTATGAATTCACAATCTTTTTTTTTTTGATTAAGGTATAAACAAAGTTTGACATTTCTGTTTGTTTTGTTGTTTTTCATATTTCTATTTAAAAAGTTCATAGTTGTCAAGTTTTTGATTAGAATATATTTTATTTGTATTTTAAATAAGCTATAGTTTTTCGGTTAACCTATAAACTTTAATTATTTATTTTTGTTATTAGGTATTTTAATCAAGCTGGTTTCTTTAAGCATGAATTCTGAAATTTTATAAAATCTGTTAAAGTGTGTAGTATGGAGTCGATTTTTTTGTGAGCAATAGGTTTTATTCGTATATCTGAAGTATGAAAATGAAAAATATGAAAAAAAAAGCACATAACCTCAATTTCTGCCTAAAATAAGCAAAATTAGAATAGGAATGTCTTAAGAAAGTGACCTTTATTTTAACCAAGGATTCCCAAAATATCGAAACATACAGGCTGTTTCGTTTAAAATAACAAAGATGATGTCGGGACACCCTAATTTAAATCTTTATTAGAGTCCAAGAAACCTTTGCATGAAACTTTTTTTTCGTATAGCCAGATCGTACAGTGGATCGTTTTATTTGGAGCACGGTGTACATTTGACAATGGTGCTACACTTTTTCAGCTGTTTGATTGGTTCCTTTTTGTTTAAGAATATGGTTTTCGCTTGAACAAAACCCGGAATAGAACGAGATATCGTTCCTCGGGAGTGATTCTATTCTATAGCGGTCAACACAACACAAGACACAACACAAAGACATCGTGGAAAATTTAAATATTTTCGCCTTTCGGTGCTCATCAACACCGAGAATACTAAACGCTTAGTAACATCGAAGGAACCTATAAGACGTAAGCTGGAAATCGAATAAAAAATAATCGAATATCTGGGTGCAGAAATAACGAGTAACGGAAAAGCCTTCCAGAGTGTAAACAATGAAAGCGGCTCGAATAGCGGGATGTATGAAAGAAATTGTATGGAAGAACAAATACTGCAATACGGAGAGCAGAATCAAGATATATAAAACGGGTATCAAGATATATAAAACGGGTATAAGGCTATAAAATACGCAGCAGAAACCAGAGTAAATACAAACAGAACTCTACAAATGATGAGAACAGTTGAAATGAATATATTAAGAACTATACGGGGTAAAACTTTTTATGACAGAATACGGAATGAGGACATCAGACAGCATTGCGGAATACAAGACATAGTAGTATTCAAGGAAGACCGCCAAAACGGCGTCGACAATGCTGGACCTGTGGACAATAAATACTAATATGGTATCCAATAAGAAGAAGCCTTTCGGTAGGGGCGTTTCGTGATTTTCGGCCTGGGAACCCGCGTAGTAGGCCGCGCAGCGACCCGCTCGGGCAAATTCGAACCACCCCGTCGTCGTCGCCGCGAACACGCAAAATCGGGCGAAGGCCCGAGCGGAATAATCCAGTCGTTCGGCCGCGAGTCCGGCCATTGTCGCTCAGGCAAAAATAAATAAAAAAACAGAATCTCTGTGCCAAATCGGTCGGGTGCGTGTGTGAGGGTCGTTTCGGGTCTTCCACGTCGCACCACCCCTTTGTGTACAAAATATACGACGTATGGCATTCCGGGGTGGCTGAGATCCCCCCTCTGCTGCTGCAGTGGCAAAACGCAGGTGAGGAGCGTGACGCTGACCTATATCGTAATGGGGGATGATATTTTGTTGCGTCCGTCTCGACGGGTAACTAATTCCAGTTATTATATCGTATCGACGTAAATTGGAGGGGATTTTGAGTATACACGGCCGCAATTAAAATAAGTAGCTGGCATTATCAACACGCGAAGTTATTTACAACAACCGTAAATCGCATCAGGCAAATATTGTAAATCTGATGGTGTCGTATTGTAAATTGAGAACAGTAAACAAAATTATTTCTAGCGACACCATTTTTTTCAAAACACACACCCACAAACGACGGGGCGTAAAAACGTCCGCGTTGTTATTTTTGCAAAGGGTGTTTCAATGTCAAGCGTCTAAGGGCCGGTAGGAGTGTGCCCTTTTGGTTTAATAAATTAAACTACCATTAATTAATGCAGGCTCAGTATATCGGGCATTCAATTTTGAAAAATTAACTAGTTAAAATGAGTTGAATAATTGAATCGAAATCAATCTTTTTTGTTTTAATTTAAATTTAAGTATTATCGATAAGAAAATGTAACATGTCTTCTCCCAAAGGATTCCTCGATTCTACTTGGGTGCACAACAAAATTGTTACCCCATTAAAGCTGGTTTATTTTGTCTTTTGGATCCGAAGGCAAATATCGAAGATATCAATATGCGTGAGCAGTCCAGTGATTTATGTACCGCAATTTTTTACGTTGCGCCTCTTGATTAACCGACTGTATAATGAAAATATCACGAAATATTTGAATATTTCTTTGATATATGTCTCTTTTTACCCAAAACTTTATAACTTTCTGTGCTTTAGATATTCTCCTATTTTATGCTAGTTTCATCTTTTCCTTTTTTTATTATTGTTTTCTTTGTAATACTTTTAGGTTGTAATAAACAAATTAAAAAAAATGTCAACCTAAATTTTTCGTAGTTACAAAAAAAAGTGCCCCTTCACTACTCATCATCAAGTAAGTTGACAAAACAAATGTTGTAAACTTTCCATACTTCAAAGCCTGGTTAGTATAAATTGTTACACTTGAGGAAAAAAAATATACAAAAATGAAACAAAGGCGCAAAATCGCGTATCTCATTTTCTTAATATTGCATTATCGTTTCGTTTTTTTTAGAATGGTTTATAACTATAACTAACCAAAACTAAACAAATGACGTGCAATATGAAAAAAACATCGTAAACATAAAAAATATCGTTTTTGACATAGCCTGGTGTCTCAATTTTGATCGTGTTGGCTTTCGCCCCCCCCCCCCCCCAAAAGCCATTACTAAACTTATATTAAATTAACACAACACCGTCATTTTTTTTTCTCAACATAGATTTACTTTCGAATGCAAAGGATGGGTTGATTCCTTCCAAACCTGCTACACGAAAGCACCTTAAAGTAACGGAAAACGCATCACCATAATACACGCTGGGTCAGAAGGATTCTAGCTGGGATTATCATGAGGATACATGTGCCGAACTTTTTGAAAATTGCTTTCACATCACTCTTTTAAAAAGTATTGACGCAAACTATCACAGCCGCCTGCTACGCAAATCACCAGCCTCGTCAACTTTAAAAATGATATTTATTTTGAATTCAGTCACAAAAAAACGCAACT